CCGGGGAAGGCCTGACTGGGGGGCCCTGCAGGGGCCGCGGGGTCGTTGAAAAATGGACCAAATACCTCCATCTTCAGCCCTCCGGGCCCAGGAGAGAAGGTGATCGTGATGGGGTCATGATCCACAGGATTGCTGTCCCAAGTGTGCTGGATAGCAAACTGCATTGACGTGAGCGGACTGAAAGAAAACAAATCAGTCAGGATGAGAATCTGCTGTAAAGAACACAGTCAGAATAATACTTACAGAGATTCACAGCATAGAAAAACATAAACTAATGTTAAAAACTGAACGTGTAGAGATAATCCCATGGCTGCAAAGGCTTTCCCACTTGCTACAAGATAGGTGTGCTGCACAATAGCTTGCAAAGTGTTAATATACCCCTTATTTGACTCTTCAAGCAATCAAGGTTAATGGCTTTTACAGCTCTGTTACTCAGTAACTACACAACTACACACCAATTGACTTCCTGCAATATCGAGATAATCTTACTTGATGAAGGTGCCGTTTGAGAATAGAGCTGAAATTAAAAAGTGACAGTTCAAAAGAAATCCTCCGAGGTCGGACCTTTCCAGCATAAACACATTAGAACTTCCCTGTTTCACTAATGTGCTCGAAAAAGGGAAATTAATGGATGGTACGCAAATCGTGCGGTTATTTCTTTTTTCAAAACCATGCGAGCTACTTAATAAAACGTTATTTCATTCAGCATAAAGGTGTTCGGAATATCAATTAAAAGGTTAAACCAAAACTGGGCATTTCCTGATTTAGTATTTCCTTCCAATGTATCCGACAGTTTCTTCCCCAATACAAGGAGGAACCTTTGTTCTTAACCATTAACTACACGTAACTACATAAGCGATGCACACCTTCATCACCATTGGCTGTTGTTTGTTTGCTTCAAAACGGTCGGCGGAATAAACAATCAAAGTAACAATCTTAAATTTGTTGTAAACATTATTTAAAAATGTAAATTTATAGCTTATATTTGACTCCCTTTGTTAGCGTTCTTAAAATATATTTAGGTGTTATTTTAGCTGCAAAACACTCACTTTGTTAGCCTAGTTAAGCTGTGATTTATTTGCTCTTGCTAGCTAAAAGTATCCGTAGCTGACGATAAAACCGTATTTCACAGTTTGTTTCACGTCGCTAGTGACTTGTATGTGTTGTGTAACAAAACACAATGCGGAAAAAATACGTTTCTTCTGTTTCTACGTTAACTATATTGTACAACTTTCATGTAATTGTTTGACTTTTACAATGCGTTTTTTTCTGTTTAGACTGTTCTGAAGGATGGATACAGAAGTGGAATTTTTGCGTGATCAAAGTAAGAGCAAATGAACGATAAGGTTTCCTCTGTATGACTTGTTTATATGTTTATAGCTGTACTGTTTGGTGTCCGGGGTAAAACAGAGGTGTACCGAGGTAAAGCAAAGGTTTTTCAGGTGCATATCTGAAAATATGCTCATTCTGAGTAATGGAAAATGTAGCCCAAAGTGCATTAGGAAATTGTGCAACAACCAAAGACTAATTTGCAATTTGCTTTAGTCAGAGAGATGGATTTTTCATAGTCTTTGGTACCTATACTAACCTTTAAGTGACAGTAGTTGGACAGGAAGCAGAGCAGAGAGCGGAGGGAAGCAGCAAAGAGCCAGAATCAAACCCAGGGAGCTTCAGAAGTTAACAACCCTCCATGCATCAACAGTTTTTAAGCCCTTTTTACCTACCAAGTGCTACCAGCAGAACAGTCTCTTTTGTACCTTAAAAATAGCTCTGACGATTGCTTCCTCTTAAAACAAACTAACCGCCAAGCATACTTATCTTTCACTGCCTTTCCTCTTACCCCATTTTTGTTCCTGCTGCATCTCATAAACTGCTTCACCAAAGTAAAGATCTTCTCCATCTCTCTAGGACCACAGATGTTATAATTGTTTTATTGTAATTTCTCAAACATGGACTTGACTGTTACTTCTCCTGTATCTTTGTAAGTCACTTTGGGTAAAAAGTAATAATAATAAATGTATTAATGTGAATGCAAACCAAAGGCAACCAGCATCCAATGAGTTGTACCTGGTGTAATATTCCTTAAGACATCTGAAAGAGACTGTAAGGGTTCAGACTGTGTTGAAGAATAAAGGTCCAGAAACCATATATCGACTTTCAGGCTCCAGCTACCTTGTAGCCGTATTTGAAATAAACTGGTGTAGAAAAGGATGTATGGATGGAGGTGTAGTTTATGGTGTTTTCTCCTCAGTCCGCAGGTTAAATTCAGCTCTCAGCCAGTATCAGTATGGGCACCGCACTCAGTCCACATCGCCACAGGTAAAAACATTTATGATCCTTCATGTGCTGTGTGATTGCTTTTGAGGCTACGGTTTTGCGATGTTGTATTTGTTCCACGTGAATTTATACCTGACGTTTTGAACGGTTTTAGTAAATTTTTCTCGTTTAGTTGTACAGGTTAAACTGTCAGCTGAGAATATATTTCTTTTAAAAGACTTCCACCCAGTTTGATTTATCCCTGTCAAATATTTCCAGCTGCAATGCAGACAAGTCTCTCTCTCTCTCTCTCTCTCTCTCTCTCCCTCTCTCTGTCACTTATGTTGTGCTATAATTCATGCAGCTCGTGATGATTCATTTTGTTTTACTCACTCTGTTCTTGAGTAGAATTGTCAAAGGCTCATGCGTTAACCCATAAGAGCCCATACCATTTTTCCTTAAAGAGAAATTATAGGGAGTTGAAAACTAATCAACTGAACCCCATTTATCACATTTAAAAAAATCAGGTACCACCGTAAAAAGTCAAAGATATGTAATTTCCAGAAGCTCCAATGGCCATTTTTACAAAATTTATTTTAGTTTAAATAGGTGGTTACACCTGTGTCACTGTGGTTTCTTATGGGTTAAAGTGTTTTCTTCTTCTGTAGCTTCTTCTCTGTGCTCCGTTATATTTGGTATTTTCATTTTCATGTGATCTGACCCTGTCTGTTGACCCTACCTCTTCTTTGGCTGGGGACTCACCTTAAACGCTTATTAAAGAGCCCCCCAGGCTCATTGATATCAAACATGTGCTTTACTCAGTGGGGGGCTGAGGGGTGTCTGTGTGCCTCACCAATCACACCTAGCAGACAACGTCCACCGATCAAACTGCAGGTCAAATCGAGGCCATTTTTCTGTAACATGAAATTCTCTTACATCTTGAAGTGTAATCTAAAGTTGACTGTAACCTGTGCAAACAGGGCAACGAAAGGGTTGAGGGGGAATATGTGATGTAGACATATGAGAAAAGAGGGTCAAAACAGACATTTTGTAATATAAGTTCAGAATTTTTCCATACACAGAAGCCAGATTTTTTTCAATCCTTTTTGGGGTTTTTTTTTTTATAATGTCAAGGACTTTGTGCTGCCTTTGCATGATAAACGCTATTTTAATAAGTTCGAATATTTCGTCCTCTTAGGGGCTGTCTGGTTCTTACTGTTTATCACGTGTCTGACAGGTGGAAGAGGTGCAGCGGGTCCAGTCTCCTGCGCCGTGGCTCTCAGATAGAGGGTGAGTTTAACAGTCTACACATTTTCAGAACTTCTCCATTATTAGTATTTTTTGGAAATTCAGAATGTTTGAGTTCTGTGATGTATGTTCGTATAAATGAGAAAAAGCTTATCCTTTTATTGTTACTGTGTTGCAGTATAATGGCTCCTCTCATTGCTGAGTACGACCGGCACATGGATGAAATGACTGAACAGCTGCAGAAATACCAGGTTAAAGAAAGGAAGACTGGATTTGACATGTTTACTCTGAGAAGCTCATAAAAAACTTTGTCTATACAGCTCAATTTGAACAGGCAGACAAAAGAAGTGAAGCTTTTTCTGGTCTGCTCGTTAACTGTTGGATAACGATGCTTTGCTGCTTGTTTAACAGGAGATGATGGCAGACATCAGGTCGAAGATGGAGAAGGTTGTGAAAGAAAACGAAAGGTGAATTATTATTTATATTATTTTTGAATAAATGTTAATATTTGTGCTGGGCTTGCACAGTAGATGACACATACGGTTTTAAATCACAGCTACCAAACCGTCAGACCTGTGAAATACAATCTTATAATAGTTATTGATTTGATGCTTGAATTGGTCTTATAAAGTGTAGCTTTTTTTATTTTCCTGTCATATATTTGAGGCATCTGGACTATTTATATTTGGACAAAATACAATCCTGCTTGACTGAATACAAGAAGTGCTTGTTTCACATAGGAAATTATGTGCAGCTAAAATTGACCCATAATCTTTTTTTTAAGGTTGCACACAGAGTTAAGGGAGACTGTTGAGAAGCAGCTCCATGCTTTGCCCACGGCTTCAGGAGTGGAGGGAAGCATGGAGGGGGATGCCACCATCAGAAACCTCCAGGAGCAGGTTCAGCTGTCTGAGCAGGTCTGGATATTACCGTGTCACGTCTGAATAACAGCAGTCTTACTGGTGCTTGTGTAGAGCCTTATGCTTTACCTGTATGTGTATTCAGCTCCTCACTGGCAGCTTTTCTGCTTTCTTTTTACATACAAGACGCTGGATGTTCAGAGATGTTCAGCGCTGAAGCTCCTTTAAACCTTAAATATAAACTATACAGTGGGGGAAATAAGTATTTGACCCCTTGCTGATTTTGCAGGTTTGCCCACTTACAAAGAATGCAACGATCTATAACTTTAATCATATGTACATTCTAACAGTGAAAGACAGAATCCCAAAGAAAATTCCAGAAAATCACATCACATATGAATTTATAAAAATTGATAACCATCTGATGAGGAAAAATAAGCATTCTTTTTAAGTGGGCAAACCTGCAAAATCAGCAAGGGGTCAAATACTTATTTACCCCACTCTATATACTCATTTTATTCAACTTGCGAGGGAGAACACGTTCTGTTTTAAGAGTTTCTTAAGGCTGGATATCTTTTTTTTACGGAAAAGAAACGAATTATAAAAAAAATAGCGAGTATTGAGCTGGTAGTTTAATATCAGTAATATCACAGTGACTGAGAGGCTGAGGGAGGGTGCAGCTTTGATATCTGCTTTCCCTGGAACACATTTTGAAGCTTCCTTGGGCAGGAAGAACATGAAAAGATTGGATATTCATAACATTCTACAAAAATTTGTTTGTGATAATAAGTATGTTTGAAGCCGTCTCTGTTGGATCTTTACTCATGAGCACGTCCCCATAATAAGCTATGAATATAACCCTAGTTAAGAAACAGGATTTGTTTAAACATTTTAATAAAGCAACTGATTGGCACCAAATTTTATTTGGTTCTGAATCAATCTGATTTCATGAAATTTGGTTTGATAGTTATCTTTGGAGTCATACAAAGAAACAGAAAAAAGACAACTGCTCTCAGCCTTATCTTTCACCTCGGGAGGAGGAAAATGGAGAGTAACGACTTGACGTGCTGTAAGCTGCTGATCCCGCTGATGTGTGACATGAATGGGATTTTTATGTGCCGAGTATTTGATTGATATAAATACGGATGAGAAGAAACAAATATTTACAGATTAAAACCTGCCGCAATTATTTAAAGACTATACTCAATTAAAAATCTTTTTGGTTTTATTAAATCATAGCACCAATCATAACGGACGTCATCTCGCAGAACCTTTTTTTTATGACTTGAACTTTATTTAGGTTTTAACAAAATAAAACATACGAAATGTACCATGTTGCACATTATACCAATTGGGTATGCAAGTACTGAAAGCAGACAATATAAAACAAAACCAACCATAAAAGAAAAACAAAAAAGATGCCAACAATACACTTATCCAAGGTTACAGCAGACATTACAGATTAAGGTTGAACTGAGCTGGAAACGTCATTGACCCGTGTAGGAAAAGTAAGGGGCGTCATCTCGCAGAACTTTAAAGATGCAGTCCAGTTAAAAATGCGTTTCAGTAAAGGCTGATCTTTATGGGAGTGTGTGTGTTTCGGTGTGTTTTTAGGAGCGGGTGCAGGCCATGGAGCTGTGGCAGACAGCTGCCCAGGAGCTGGACCGCCTGCAGCAGCTCTACCAGAGGACAGCCTCCGACAGGCAGCTCCACGATGCTCAGAAACAGCACCTCAAGGTCCACTAATCCCACCCAAACCTGCAGAACCGGCACATTACAGGCACATAATCATTATGACCGGCGCATGCAGTACAGCTCCGATGCTTAATGTACAGAAATGAGCCATCCTCCACTAGATGGAGCCGTTATCATAGTGGGGAGGTTAATTAAAGTTGTTTGGTCTCTGCTCATTCTTGATATGAGCAGAAGGTAATTACTAGCAGTTAAATGCTATTGAATGCCTTTTTGCCATCGCAGGATCAGCTTGTTCAGTTCCAGCAACACGCTCACCAACTCCAGGCAGCCAATCGGAAACTGGAATCGGTAAGTAACGTCTAATTAAAAGCCTGTTAAATTACTGCCTCCCAATTAGCCATGGGATCGAAATGCTGTGCACTTTTTCAAAATGAACCCTGCTCTAATAATTAATCTTTTAACTAAATGAACTGGTTTCTAAATCCCTCTGGTAGGCAGCCAGAGCTGTCGTGTCGTATAATGGACTGTCGGCTCACTTGGTAATCCTCTAACTATCTGAGCTTTTTTTTTTTTCTAGCACATACTGCTGTGCACACTGTGTGGCTTATGCACTCACAGATAACTCAACACCAGACTGTTCAGGTTCTCCTTAGAACCCGTCGACTTGGCTGAGGCTCAACCTGACAACGCTTTAATTTATTTTCACTCAAACACATTCACACACACACAAACACACACGCACACCTGGTGCTTACTTTAGTCACAACAGAGTGTGTGATGAGATGGTAAAGTAATATAGATCCCTCTAATGCATTTTTAATGAGTGGGTAAGCCTTGGGCTTTTCCTTCACTAACTGTTCATGCAAGCCCCCTTTTTCAGTCGCTGCTTGAGAGGATGATTGATTTTGTTGCAGCGAGTGAGTGATGGAAGCATCTTAGGGCTCAATCCTAAAGGACTTAGACATTTTTTTTTTCAGCGCGAAGTTTCGGTTAAAAGTTGGCTCCGGCCTGTGTGTTTGGAGCCATGCCACACAAATGGAGGTCTTGTCTCTCCTGCCACACACAGACTAACCAGCAGCTTCTGAGGACGGTGACGGAGCAGGGCACAGAAATGGAGGATTTACACAGTCAGCTCAGGTAACCGAACACCTTTGAGACTCTGGCACTATGCTGCACGGCTCCATCCCACCCGCTTTGTGCACTGAAAAGAAGTCAATACGGTCTGTTTGGTGTACAGTATTTTTTGCAGACTGGGACATAGAAAAAGATGCTGAACTGAAATAACTTCATTCTTGATGTAATTATATCCTCATTTTCTGTTATCTGAAATAAATACAGTGTAATCCACAGTGCCTTATTTATAAGGCTGCCTTGATTCCAAATGTTTCTGCATCATAGTTTCATGAATCGGGCTGGAAAAGTTCCTGACAGTTATGTCAAAGTCGATCGTTGTCTACTTTAGATGTTATATTAGATATGAATCACCGTAGGAAAAAATAATTACCTGTCTGTATTAATTGAGAATACGGTGTGGGATTGGTTTCTGGTTACATTTATTGGAACAGTGTTACATTAGTGGGTAAAAATGTGTCACTGCTTGTGGTCTTATCAGCACACAGAATATGAAGATACACTGAATAGCTGCTGTGTGACTTCCTTTTTTTCTGCTTTTTATTTGACATCTTTTATCATGATGCTAAAACTCATGACTCACTCACTTTTATCATGATGCTAAAAAGATGTCAATGATATAATTCCAGAATATAATCTGGAGGCAAAAACAAAAAAACAAACATACCCCTCACTTTTCGTACAGATTAAATAAACATAATATAACATTCTCAGCCAACTGGGGATGAGATCATGGTTGTGTCTTCGGTCTAAATATTCCGATCAATATTGTTACATAATATTTCCAAAGTGGAAACTCTATTGTGTTTTACTAACATAACCTGGACAATTTTTCCTAAATTCTGCAGGGGAGCGTGTCGATTGATATTCCCAAATGTTTAAACTGTGGGTTGATCTGTGTGTTTTCTCGCAGGCAGTCGAAGGCTGAACTCAGGACGGCCACAGCCAAAGTGGAGGAGATGACCAAACTGCTGCAGCATTTCCAGGAACAGATGCAGAGACGGGTGGGTGGATGTGGGTGGAGGGGGGGCTATCACGAAAATCTGAAAAGAAAAATTGATGTTTATTTGTCCACTTAACTCATTGGCTGCCAAAGACGTCTATAGTCGTCTTTTATGTTTTTCAACGCGAGTGGCTGGGGGACGATCTGCTAAAGCTTGTCCGTAAATATTGGCTTCTAGACAGAGTATGTAGTAACAAATTGACCCTCTAGGGGGCAGTGCCACTTTTGATGGGAGATGAGCATAGACTGTAGGCAAATAAAAAAAAACGCAATGGTTCGCTATGCGAGAAATGGCGCCGGTGAGACGCAAGTCGAGGAAGAACGGAATAAGGTAGAAACACATTTTTTTTCCTGATGAAAGAAGAGAGTCTACTCTTTCTTTTGGTGTGTTCGGTGTTTACATAGTCATAGCACAAACTATTCTGTGGCTCTTGAAAAATCAGTCAAAATGCTCAAAAAACTCCGGCAGTATGGGACTCTGTTCTGAAAATGGCTGGCAGTCAATGAGTTAATGGCTGTGGGGAAGGTGGTGGAAACATTTGTGTATATTTGCAGCAACGCTCAGACGTCCGTATGTCTGTAATTAGGAGGAAGATGTGGCCGAGGCCCGAGGCAGAGAGGACGCATCAGACAGACGACTCCACCAGCTCCAGACAACCTTGAGCCAGTTAGAGACCAGGTGGAGCACATTTCTACTGTCTGCTTCACCCGTTGTCACTCTGCACCTCTTGTAGCAGTCACTGGCTGTCCACTAAGAAGGATTTTAGATTTTGGAGAGGGCTGCATTATTGATCTTCTGGGGAGTCGTGAAATTTTACATCTGAGTTTTCGGTGTCAAAAGGCCAAGCAGCAGTTTCCTGACTCTCCCTCTCCTGCTACTTCTCCCTCATTTTCTCGTTTTCCAGGCTAAAAGCTGCATCTCAGGAGGCAGAGGCAGTTCGCAGAGAGCAAACTGTGTGGGAGAGAAAGGTGGGGGAACTCCAGGCACGTTGCACCACCCAGGAAGAAGAGAAGTATGAGGCTCTTTCCAAAGTCCGGGAGAGTGTTCAAATGGCAGAAGAGGCCGCGCTGCAGAAGGAACAGGTGATCACACAATCACCTTCTTCCTTTCTTCTTTGAGCTTGAGACTCAGTCTGTTCGGTTTCAGTATTCCCATTCACTTAGAACATTTGCCCGCTGAAATGTCTCCCTGTTCACATCTTTACTTTTCCCCGTAGGCCCTGTTAAGAGAGAAGCAGAAGGCAGAAGAGCTTGAAAAGACTAAAGATGCCATCAAACATTTGATCCAAGAGGCTGCAGTCCGCACCAGGAAAGAGGTACGCAGTTATTACGTGTTGGAATGAAAATGACTGCTAAGTGCAATCAGTGTATCATTAAAATCCACTTTGAAGCGTAAGCTATACGAACTGCAATTGTTGAAAGCACCGGATGATGTGACAATCCTCTGTTTAAATACATAGTTACAGATTAGATGCAGAAACCCATCCTTTTTTAATTACAGTTAGTTAAATGTTGAAAAATGACCATCTATACTAGTTATTTTTTTTCCAGCACATTTAGCCAAAAGCCTTTTTTCTAACCCCGACTAACCCCATCCAGTCATATTGATGAATGCATTATTAAGGAGTGCTCTTCATCAAGCACTTCAGCTGTTAATCTTATTAATGCAGCACTGTGTGACTGAAACACCTGAAGCACTGGCTGCCATCTCAGTCTTGCCTTTAAAAAGGATGAGATTTTAAGGTATCAGGCTGAGACTTTCTGCAAATCTTGGGCCCACGTGTATTTGTTTTTTTTGTGTGTGTGTTTTTTTTTTACCTTCCAGGTACTTTTGTCATTGAGTTTGAGGTTAAGTTTGAATGTTGCAGCAAAAGTGAGACACTATTTTCTCAAAGTAATCTTCTTTCCCCCCATCCCCATTTAAACCCACTCAGTAAGGAGACAGGCATGCGTAATGAAGAAATAATCCCCGAAGTGCCTACAAGTGCTAGTCAGACCTGTGACTCACCTGAGGCTACAAATGCTAGTTAGACTTTGAAGCATTTAGGACTTTCCAAAATCGAGGCATGTCCAATTATTTACTTGAGAGTTTAATCCTACGGCAACTAGGACACGAACACGCCAACTTTTCTGTCCATTTTCACAAGGATTCACACAATTATGATGAGAAATGCTGATAAATGCAGAGCTTTTTGGTTATTTTTGACTTACAAACCTATCAGTCTGATTTTCCTCCCACCATTTTATTTGACCTCAAATAACACAAACCTTTCACTTTACATTCTCATAAAAATCTCTGAAAATCACATTAAGAAATTTTTTTAAGAATCAACAGATTCAACTTTTGGCATCTGTTGTTAAATATTGACATGGTTCTTATGTTGATCACTATTTAAAGCCCAATTATTTTTTCATTAATGTTAAAATTGATGCCCCTGATGCGTTGCATCAGTGTTGTGAGAATTTGAGAAATACTTTACTATGGTTTTCTGTTGCTTTTTTTTATTTTAATCTGAACATGCACTGCTTATATTTCATCATGTAAGCTTCTATTCATCTTTTCTTTATATATATATATTTAGATTAATCCCAATGTGTTATGAGGAAATAAAATAAAAACAAAAGATTTAGGGCAAAAGTAAAATAATTTTAGGTAATCTGCTTCATTAACTTTTTTCCTCTATTTTTCATCTGATAAATTAATGTTTAATGGAAGAAAACAGAAAGCAGTAGCTCTCCACAGACACCTTTCTTTTGTTTGAGCAGTTTTTCCCTAATCCCCAACAGGTGGAAAATGTGCGCAAGCAGTGCAACATCCAAATCCACCGTATGGCGGAGGAGCTGTCGGCACTCCAGTTGGTAAGAACCTGTCCTGGTAAAGGGATATTGCTTTTAAGATCACACTAAACTCTTTTCAGTTTCAGCTTGTCTCCTCGCTCTGTCTGCAGCCGCCCTCCTCTGTGACACCCCTTGTTCTCTCTTCCCACCTGTCTCTAGGAGTGTGCAGATAAAGAGTCTCAGATTGAAAGGTCCCTGCGTGAGAGAAAAGCAGTCGAGGAGGAACTGGAGAAGGTATCAGTAAGAGCACCAGTGAACACACACACAAAAAAAGATGCTGTCTGCTCCTGGGTTTTGATACTGTCAGATTAAATGAGGTGGCTCAGGCAGTGCTGGGGGTCATGTGGTGTTTTTGTTTTAGGTGTATAAGGAGGGCAGGGCAGAGCCAGAGTTCCAGAAGATTGATGCACTTCATCAGAGGTGTTTAAATGCAGAGAGACTGAAGGACGACGTTAGTCTCACTCTGCAAAGTACCCAGAACAAGATGAAAAAGATGGAGATGGAGTAAGTGTTGCTCAGAAAATGTATAGTCATGTTTACTCTCATGTGTCTCAAACAGGGGGTTCATTCAGTTGGACCCCAGAAGAAATAGAAGGTATTTTGCTTCAGTATGAATTGTTATTATCTCATAGACTGCCAGAGTTCTTTTGAGCATTTTGACTGATTTTACAAGAGCCACAGAATAGTTTGTGCTGTGACTATGTAAACACCGAACACACCAAAAGAAAGAGTAGACTCTCTTCTTTCATCAGGAAAAAAAAATTGTTTCTACCTTATTCTGTTCTTCCTGGACTTGCGTCTCACCGGCGCCATGTTCTGTCATAGTGAACCGTTACCTTTTTCTTATTTGCCTACAGTCTATGCTCATCTCCCATCAAAAGTGGCACTGCCCCCTAGAGGGTCAATTTGTTACTACATACTCTGTCTAGAAGCCGATATTTACGGACAAGCTTTAGCAGATCGTCCCCCCAGCCACTCTCGTTGAAAAACATAAAAGACGTCTATAGACGTCTTTGGCAGCCAATGAGTTATAGATGGCAGCAGATCTAAAAAGGAGTGATGGTGTAGTGGTTAGCATAGCTGCCTTCCAAGCAGTTGACCTGGGTTCGATTCCCGGCCAATACAGCTCCTCTCTACCCTGTAAGTCGCTTTGGATAAAAGCGTCTGCCAAATGCATGAATATGAATATATATATGAATATAAAAATGAAATTAAATAAAAATCAACTCGTAAACTTTTGGAGAAGCTATATGTGGTAGGAAGAGGTTTAGTTATTTTTTTCCAGAACTACACCCACAGACTGCCACTAGTGTGGTGTTACCAAATGCAATCTCCACTCTCTCTCAGTCCTTTTGTTGCGATCCTCCAGATACAGCGAGGAGCTGTCCCGGTGCCAGGAGGAGGTGCGGCGGCTGCAGGGATCTCTGGCCGCAGCCCGGGACGACTGCGTCGGAATAAGTGAGGGCCGGCTCCAGCTCCAACAAGAGAACTTACAGCTGCGCAAGGACATGGACGAGCTGCGTAAGGCCACCATGCTGCTCCAGAAGAAAGCCAAGCAGCAGGTAACTAATTTACTAATTACTCATTTATTTATTTATTTAATCAGGACAGTGGACATTAATGAACAATCTCATACAGATTGTAAATGAGCCAGATTCTAGCATAGTTGCTAATTCGCATCTGTCGTCCTGAGGCAGGAAGACAAAACAACACAAAATCACAAAATACAAAATCAGTCCAAACACACGTTCAGACGATGACATTACAAAATTAAAATTAGTGATTGCATGACTGGGAACTTTTGAGAAACAGTTTAAGGTGCTTCCCTGATGTTTGTTGGGAGGCTGTTCCAGAAGTGACCCCCTCTGACTGATAGAGTCATTCAAGATGTAAATAACAAGTATGAATATGGTTAAAAAGCCAAATAAAGTAATAAAGTCACTACTATAGTGCTTTGATCACCCTGTTGCACAGCCAGAAAGTAAACCTACATTTACAGGAGAAAAACTCAATTTTAATGACAAATTATTCAATATTTGTGCTGGGCTCGGTGTAAAACCTGACAGGCAAAAAGTTTAAGTCACATGGACATGTGCAATAAAAGGCAGAGAAAGCTGAAGCGACATTTCTGGACTCGTGTGGAATTGAGTTAAGATTAAATATCATAGACAACAAAACAGTCTGAACGGAGCAGAAGCCTCAGGAGCATTTTATGGCCCCTGTGCACGCATTTTACTTTGTTGAGAACATATCTACGCTCTCTCAGAAAGTGCAATTACTTTACCGTGAGGTCACACAAATTCAAACCGTTTATATGAGTATTATTGGGAAGGGATGTAGCCACTTAACTGTCCAACTGTCTGATTAATAAAGTCCTCTTCATTTTGATAACATGATCGGCTGTATGAATTGTTCTTGTGTGCTCCGCCTCACTAACTGTTTCCCCCCTCAGGTTTCACAGATGGAGCACGAGTTCATGCTCAAAGAGCAGGGCCTGGATGCCCGGGTCAGGGAAATGGAGGAAAGCAGCCGCAGTTCCAGTGCTGATCTGACACGCCTCCTCGCAGCTCAACGGAAAAGTTCTCAGCGATGGAAAGAAGAGGCCACCAACCTTGTGCAGACCTTTGAGGCTAAAATCACAGGCCTCAAGTAAGAGAGAATTCAAAAGGAAGGATACAAAACAAGTTGAAATTCAGTCATAATTGGCTGTGATCTTTGAGGGCATTGATGCTTAATTTAAGTTTTCACACATTTTAGAATAAGATAGAGCATGAGAAAAAAAGTATAGTTTTCACATAAAAGTCATTTCCACATATAAGCAAGATTGGCAATTAAATGTGTGATATCAATATTATTAAGCAAAAGGTTTTCTTTAGGGGTTAAAGGCACTGTCCATAGATGGTCCTAAAGCGGATTTAATCACCTTTCTCCAGTGTTTCAGAAACCTATTATCATAAATGGGCTTGCCATATAATAGCTGGCTTAAAGATGGGTCCAGTACATCAGAATATGCTGTGCCTTTCACTCAACACTACTTTGTTTACAGTACGTCTCTTTCAGCTTCTGGTGTTGAAAATGGGAAGCATGTGGTGCTTTAAAGAAAAAGCAAATGCACATTGAGCAAACATTCTCTGGATAAATAACGTACCCGGAATGAAGTCCACAAGAATAAGTTAGGCATCTGACAGTAGTGGGTAACTGGCAGACTGCTGAAAGACTCATACTAACAAGGCTTAAATGCAATATCAACAAAGGTGTGATGACAGAAGAAAATGTATGCCTATTCTTCAAAGCCCAGGGACTTGAATATTTTTTTATTGTCAAAGACTAAGCAACATATCAGGCAATAACTGGCTTTAGACTTTTTTCTACTAAAAATATCGAATTCTCAATGTCTCCATTTGTTTTTTCATGGCAGGGCAGAACTGAATCGGCAGAAGCAGCGCTCACATGACCTAGAGATGCGACTTGAAACCAACCATAATACTATTTCAGAGGTTTGTGTGACACATACAGCCACTCAGGTGCAATGGGATATCATTATAAACCGAACAGGAGCTGTGACCATAGTTCTGATGTCATTCTTAGTCTCTGGAGCTTAATTTATAATGGTTTATATTTAAGGAAAATCCCACCATTTGATTCTCTTTACCTGAACCTTAAAAATATATATATACGTGTGTGTTTCCTCAGTATGAGAGGCAGCTAGCTGAATATCAGGAAAAGGCTAATCGTCTCCAGAGGAGACTGACACAGGCTGAACAGAAGGCTGCAGCAGCTACACAGCAGGTAACGATCACATGTGCCCTCACACACATCTTGTAATGAATTTACAAATATTTTTTGTTATTTAAGCACTTTTTTTCTTGTTTTTTGCAGCTTAACATGCTGTCATCTCAGCGAAGGAAAACAGCCATGGTGGATCTAGAAACTCTATGATCTTGGCATGCCATAAAAATTTTGTTGACAATGTGGTCAAATTCACATTAGAACACTATTGCTATAGTTCTTGCTCTGTTTTTTAACGTTAATTATGTATATTTCTGTTTTATATAAAATGTTCTCAAGACCTTTTGAAATGAAAGAATTCTTAATTAAAAGAGGGAAAATGGGAAATTGTCTATGCAAATGAGAAATAAACTTTGTGATATCTATTAAATGATTGAGAAAATGTTTACATTAAACTTTTGGGTTTAAAAAGTGGCGTCTTGATTTATTTTCTATGTATGGAAATGTTTCCAAAACTCACCATGTCATGTTGTTTGTTTACGTCGCTTTGCGGGAGGGACTCCCGTTGCTAGGAAACCGTACACTTGGCAAGAAAAAAATCGCAAACAAGACTGCTGCTAAATGGCCCCAAAACGTTCGAATATTATCCAAAGAGGATATTCAATTAAACTTTTGACAAATTTCTTGCGAGTTTAAACGTTTTTTGCAACTTGGTATGCGTTAGCGTTACCCACATTTGAGCTTAATTCCATTTAAGCAGAACTTTCCCCCATTTTGGGGTCCTACTGCTGCCTCCTCGCCTGTTAAGCAATGGCTTCTTCTTCTTCACCGAGGGCTTCTCTGCCGAGCATCTCTGGAATATGCCCGGACAGTGACTCCAAAGGTAGGCCCGGTCCGTCCAACAACTTTTGTACGGAATGGACTATAATTCCTATCTACTTGGTAAAGGTTTATTTTGACATTATGTTCCAGAGCGCGTGCAGAAGCTCCCGGAACTTTCCACTGTCCCCCCAAGACCTCCGGTTCATGTAAAAGACCCACAGGTGAAACTAGCCCCGGATAAATGAACCATTTCGGTGCAATGTGTTGATTTTGGACATATTTTTTTTTTTAAAAGATAAAAATTAGAACGTACAGATTTGGATATGTTAGCCCGATTCTTTAGTTGGAAACCTGAGAATAAACCAGAATGGATCAAAAGTATAACAATTACTTTTATTAGGTCACAGGCAAAAACCTCTCTCTGGGTCTCAGTGGGCAAAGAGCCCTGAGATCTGGGTGATGGGCATTATCTCCTGGGCTCGATCCGCCTCCTCAAAGGAGGACTGGACACAACCAAGTCCTATTGGCCAGTTACCTCTGGGCACGAACAGGCCAGGTCCTAATTCATGCAGATGACAGGAATGTGGTAACAAATGGTGTGTGTTTGTGTGTGTTGACCTAAAGGTGGATCTAATGCAACAGAGAGAGAAAAAGAGAGAAAAGAGAATCTGAGTGCTATTGGCCAGTTAGCTCTGATATGAATAGGCCAGGTCCTAATTCATGCAGGTGACAGGAATGTGGTAACAAATGGTGTGTGTTTGTGTGTGTTGACCTAAAGGTGGATCTGATGCAACAGAGAGAGGAAAAGAGAGAAGAGAGAGTCTGTGGACACAGCCAGAGACCTTAACACAAAATATAGACAATCAGTAATTTACACAGATCATGTGATAGCATACAATGCTAAAGTGAGTAATTATAACCAAATTCTAACGGATATCTTGCGGTTATAGGCTGTGCTGAAGAGGCGCGTGGCACGTAAACAGCCCAGAGTCCAGCACCTGAGGGCCCGTGAAAAGATGCTTTTTCCCGGGTGGAACACTCAGCCACCTTCACACCAAGAAAAGCCACAATTCTTGCGTAGGCGTCCTGATCAAATGTCTGTCCAGCTGCCCCCTCTGCAGTCCCCCAAACAGGTCAGTGGCAGGCTCGTGGGGAGGGAAGTGCGGCTCCCTCTGCAGAAGTAAATGTATTTCTCTGCTAGTGACAGATGAAAAATGATTTAGCCAGTTTTATATTACCGGCCAAACGAGATAGGAAAATAGTCTGTCGGCATACCAGCCCTGTCCAAAAGGTTTGAGTTGTGAAATTAAAGGTGAACAAATGATCATATGAGGTGATAATAATCTCTATAATCTCTTTGCTTTACTTGAAACACTTGGTAAAGACATTTTTCAGAGTAATAGGATAACTGAATAAATGATAATATGATTGTTTAACCTTATGTTGCCACATATTTAACATTATCCTAGTGTAATTACCTTTTTTAGGTATAGAAAATGTGTATCTTAACTTTTGTCTCTCAATCATTCCATGTCAGAAACTCCAAAATGTGGCGTCAACCCCCAGTCTTCCCAGATTTCCATTTTCCATTAAAAGAGGCACACATATAGACCCTTCCTGCCTCAATCAGTTCTATGAATACAGTAAGGATAACTGTTTACTGATCAACCATGAGGGCGTAGTGTCGATGCGGAAGGGTGAGTTTGAGTTTACGACGCTGGAACGCTGGGAGGATGAGTACGACTTCCACTGTAAGCTGACCAGCATCCCGTTCTTCACCCTCTTCAAAAAGTGGAAGCCGTTCAGTGTATGGCGCATCAAAGTTCGTGCTAAGAAAGTCCAATTAGCCAGAGAGTTCCTCCAAAACCATCTGTTTATGGTCAGACCGGTATGTGTGTGCATGAAATGGGTCCTTGTCTTAATTAACATAAATCTGAAACATCATATACCGGAACTTTATTATTGGCAGTGAGAATTTTAGCTCTGATTCCCATTTTTTTAAATGAGGTCTGTATTGTTTTTGTTCATTTGTGTATATCACACAGTCTCTCAGTCCTGCTTTGATAGACATAAGAAAAATGTGCTACCAAATCTGTGAAACAGGCTTGAGTGAAATAAAGAAAAAGCACACGTACACATTGGAGGAGTTCAAGGAGATACAACTGAATCCACTAGAAGAAGAGGTAGATATGACAATTCATTTGAAAGAAATCTCTCATCTGCAAAGTATTCAGCATCTACACCGTATTCAACACAGTTTTCTGTCTATGGGCCTTTTCAGGAGTTCCTTTCCCTTTTTAAAAATGTATTTCTTTATTTATTTTTTTTACTGTTGTTAGGTGTTAAGTGATCTACAGAGGTTTCGAGAGCTGGTGAAGGAAGTAACCATTTGTGCTGGCCGTGACTTCTTATTGGAACATCAATCCAAATCAGCAAGCTTAAGTACGTACATACTCACCTCAGGGATAAACTTAAATCTACATAGAAGCAGTAAAAAGACAAGACAGTCTCACTCTTTTTGTCACAGATGGTGAAAAAGATAAGGACATTCTTTCAACAATCAACCTTGCTTTTTACTGCAAACGCCTCATCTGGTGAGTAAATTTACTGAGTTGTCGATTTTCAGCTTGTCCTGTATTTTTTTCCAAGATTTGCATTTTCTTGGTATTTTTTTTTCCTTTTTTTTGTAATTTCTGTGTTATTTTGTGCTTCCGGTGTTTTTTTTGTTGATCATTCTTTTAGCTCTGTATTTGTTTTCTTTTCCTGGTTTTTGTGTTCTCGCTCCTTGTCAATCTCACTTAGTTTCCTCGGTGTTTCTCTAGTCTGGTCATCTGCTCCATGCCCTTCACCTATTAAGTGTCTCAGCTTTTCTTTATTCACTAATCGCCCTCCTCTCTACAGAGCTCTCAGGTTTCCTTGCTTTTCATCAGATCCTCTGCCAATTGCCATCAGAACGCTTTACTTGATGTCTATTTCGTTCCATTATATTCTCAGGAATTCTTGCCCTTTGCTTCCTAGTTTCCTTGTTCCAGTTGCCTATTGGTATTTAGTTTTTTGTAGTTTAGTTTTGGTAAACTGGTGTGGCTGCAATATCTGTTGCTTTTATAAGAAAACCTTCTTTTCCCCCAAGTTTCATGGGTGCTTTGGGTGCTTTTCTGCACTGTTCACATTAAATTTACTCTCGCTCCCCTTTAATTCTATTTGTTTTCTGTTATTAGATGTGCACAGATGTTCATAAAACATCATGCATGGTTTGTAAGTGTGATGGAAAATAATACTAAAACAATGCAGAAGCTTTATCATAGAGAAAATGCTAGTGTAAAATTCTAAGTCAGCAGCACCTTTCCCAGCTGGTTACCTCACCAGGAATAGTAGAGAGGCTGATTTGTTGAGGAGTAAAGATATAAACACATTTACTATTCTGAAAGACTCCTTGTACTGCAAATATGTTGGAATGAAGAATAGTGTTTAGTAGTTTTATGAGACCACATTCACATTTCCTTCTGAGCCTGCTGGTGTTCTGTGCCTGACTTGTCCCTCTCTCTACATTTTCCATCTTAAGATAGGCATAGACTCTGTTACTGAAGTCTAAAATCCTATTTAAACTTCTTTTTTTATTGTATTTATCTGCTTTTCGAGATGTGCTTCAGATTTCAGTAAATTGAGTCGACATAGACTCAACTACTGAAAGCTATTTTTAGTCCTTGCATGACTTTGACAGGTAAAATAGAAATGTTCCATCAATTTGAGAGTTTAATCATCCAAAAAGCCTTGAGATCACCTCCCCTTTTGATAATTGTTTGCTGGCCTATGAGAGTAATGAGAGTTTAGTTATTGATATCAGTAGATTTTTTTACTGCCGTTATACTGTAATAATACATCCATGTTATGAAGCGGCCTGTTGCAATAATGTGCTATTAGTCATGTACAGGAAGTACCTGTGGATGACTAATAGCACACTGTGCAACGCTTTGGAGTCTCATACTGCCGTCCACTTATTAGTCCACTGGGGTGCATGATGTATTAAAATGGGTGTTTTGCATCTTTCAAACTCAAACAAGCTTTCAGGGGTTTGCAGAACACTGCATTAATTGTACATTTTCAATTTTACCCCCAACCTATTTGGAAAAAAAATCGTGGTGAACTCCTCCCGATTGTAAAATATTTCTGTCAGTATGAAAAATTCTCTTATATTTTTCACGCAGATCTAATATATGTAACTTCTATCTCTTCCTCACCCAGCTTTATTCGTCTGGTTGACTATTTGATGGTCAGTGCCTTGCACAGCTTGGTGGTGACTGCGGTGGAAAAACTCCTGACTGTATTTCAGGAGGGGGTAGGTCAAATGCCCTGTCACGCCAATATTCAAAGTTGGAGCCACCACTTTGAGGCTGCCTCTGAACAAGAGATGGATAAAAAGGTAGACTAGTGTTTCTGTGTGGGTCAGAGAAAAAACATGCTTCTATTTTAAACAAACCAGACTGCAAAGCCACACAGACATGTGTTGAGTTTATTTCTTCTTCTCTGCTTTGCTTGTTTTGTTGGTGTGTTGAACCAAAGGCTCCGTGTGTGCATCCTTTATTCATGTCAGAACTGATGCTGGACTCAAATGCTCTGACTTACAAACCCTCCCAGGAAGACTTTCAGGTTTGTTTACTTTTTGAGCGGCTAAACATGGAGTTGTTGTTTTTTTCTTATTTAATCACATACCAATCTAAAGCACATTTCTTAATCAACCCAACAGGAGACGGCTGAAGAGATTATCAGACAGTTTGAGAACACGGTGATGTCGGTGAAGACGTTTACAGGAGACTCTGATTTTGAAACACTGACACAGTCTACAAAGTACAAGGTAAAAACAATTAGCACAAAAACAGATATATTCAGCATAACTCCTCCCTCTGACAGTCAAATTAATTATTGACATTATCACCACCACTTATTTGGCCTATATATATATATACATACAGTTATTTATGTAAATATTTATCTATATTCTATGTGGAATTTTGTATATATATAAATACGTATATATGTATAGAAATGCATATATGTATCTGCCGTTGTTTTATTTATGGAGCGAGTAACAAAAATAATTCCTTCTGGGATTATTAAAGTATTTCTGATTCTGATTACTGATATAATTCATTTCCAGGTTGTGGATTTATTAAAAAGTGTTATCACGTATTATTAAGTTGCTTTGATGCGTGATGCAATATTTGTATGTTTTCTATGTTCAATCTTTTACAGAGATTGAAAGATACATTTGAAAACAACCCCAGTGTGGAATCTGTCTTGGAGAATGATGGCCACCTTCAAAGTATCAAGGAAAACATCAGAGTCAGTTTTCACTTTGTAATTTTTCCCTTACGTGATTGAACCCTTTCCATATAGGCCCATATATGTGTGGAACTGACTTTTATTTATTATTTACCGCCCTCTCAGGATTCACTCCATTCTGCTTTTGACGCAGCAAAAGTGTACGCCCACACCTTTGAGCCTTTTCAGATTTTCCATATGGAAAATAAAAGTCTGGATCTGGATGCAATGCGGCAGCAGTATCATGGTAATATGTAGTATTATTGTAGTTGCGTTGTATCTTTACCAAACTCTGTTTTTCTTGTTTTCCTGCTTTTCTTGTAGTTCATATAAACATGTATATATAACATGTATATATATGTATATACAGTATTTATTTATTTCTTCAGTGTAGTGACTGAAATGACATCAGAACAATTAAAGCAGGACAAATTGATTAGTAAGATAACTATAAAGTTACTTTTGTTTAATGCAAAATCATTTTTCTTTATTCACGACTCCCTTTTCCATTTTCTGGAAGTAAACTAAATCTATGCAATGTATAAACAGTTTTCTTCTTATATAAAACATTGTTTCATCATGCACGCCTTTTGCAGTCTGATGGAGGTAAAAGTAGCCTGAATTCAGTAGAATGAATTAATTTTAGATAGCTTCAAAATTGGACATGAAGACAAATGTACTGATTTGCTTTTACAAGCTGTGAAACCAGAAAACCAAACCCAGCTCTACCAGTTCATCATGTGTCAAGAGAGAAATAAAATTCAAATTTCAGTACAGTTAAAAACCAAAGAAAAAAAACATAAGCATTAACATGTTTTGGCCTATTCCAATTAAAGAAAAATGATCACGCAAGGGAATTTAATCATGTTACACTCGGTTTTGGTGAATAAGATGCAAGATTTTTAAGGTGAATGTGGACATTTGTACTCTGAGCATTTATTGGCTCGTTCCTCCATGAAGGAATTTGCCCAAATTTTGGACATTTGAATTGTTACAGGTATTTGTATTACATTTTGAAATCCTAATTTTTGGGTAATAGACAATTAATTGTTGCAAATTGGTTCATTAATGCAAATCACAGACAGAAGATATTCTTTGAAATTGCTCCTTATTGGACATTCTTTGGGATCTGTATATAAGTAGATGCCTTTACTGTTCAGACTGATGACTCTCTTTATTCTCCCTCACAGATTTGTCGTTTTTCCGAGAAACTCTGGAGTTGTACCACAGTGAGCATAAGAGAGCCTTAGCTGTTCAGGAGAAGAGGGATCTTGGCTTACTGCTTGTGGACAAAACCCAGCTCAAAGAAAAGCTTGTGTCTTTTCCCCTCCGTTGTCTGGAGGTTAGGGCACATAAACACATACCCATGTTTGTTTCAGCTCTGCTTTAACTCTTTACCTAGTTTTACAATGTCTTTCTGGTCGTATTTAATTTATAAAATGTATTGAATGTGTCACAACATTGCTCCTGGGCAGTGAAATAAAGTGGAACTTGATGTATGAGTTTATAAAAGCAAGGGTTTATTTTTTAATAAAGAAGGGCAACATAAAAGTCAAGAGGATACAATCTAAGTATGAGCATGCCAAGCTCCATCAGAAAAGCTGTAAAACCTGCTCCTGGAAGCCTAACCAGGAATGCCTTTAACCCACTTTGTGTTGTGAGCAATGTACCCTTCCCCAGTGATGAATGTATCCAGTAAGACACTTACCATAACAAAGGTATGTGCTGTATAAATCTTTTCCACTCCTCTTTCATCCCAGGTCATCAATGAGATGCTTACACAGCAGGCTAGGAGAAAGTTAGATGTCCTCCTGGCTGAGGTGTGTGAGGCCCAGTTTAAACTGGATTTCCATCCATCCACAACGGATGAGATGGCCAACAGTCTCACTTTCTTGGACCAGATCCAGGAGAGGGTGAGAGCTGTGTCTCTTGTTAAAATCAATAAGATGAGCAGCTATCCCAGCTGTTTCTAAAAACACAAAAGAAGCCAAGTTTTTTTCCTTCTTTTTACAGTGTACATTGATCAAGACACTTTTGCCAAAATTGTTTTTCTCCATTTCTCCAGATTACGTCACTAAGGGAGGAGGAGGAAACAGTGTGTAAAATGTACAGTCTGATTGACACATACTCCATTTCCACTCCACCTGAGGACCTTGTGGTTTTTGCTACATTGCAACCCTCCATTAATGCCTTGCAAGACCTAATTTGTGAGGCAGTGGCAGATAGGGAATCGAGAATGGAAATGTTTAGCAGCTCTCTGATCGCGGACATAGAAAAAGTACAAAATGAAGTTAAAAAAATCAAACAGAAGTTACAGGTAAATGCAGAAATTATTCATGTTGCAAAGTTTTATTTGATATTTTATGGTTTATGCCTAGGTATTCAAATAAAAATGAAAAAATACAGTAGTTTAATGCGATTTTGGGGTGATTAATTGCTTACTGGTTAGTTTTATTTGGTGATTTTCTTTACTTTTTGTTTGTATTGTTTTTTTCACATGTAGAATCCAGAAATCTTGGACATTAATACAGATTCCTCTCATGTGCGTGTCCTGTTGGAGGAGATCCAGATTTCCATAGATGAGTTACAGAACCAGGCATCTGCCTTTAATTCCCACCAGAGGAAATTCAAGGTGCTTCAGTTCTTTAGACATGTTTTGTAACTTTTAAATTGAAGGCAGAAATGGTCAGGTTATCTTCACCTTAACAAAGAACAAGAAAAGGAACTTAAGCCAAGCAAGTACTTTTTTCTTTCTGACTAATAAAGGTGGAGGTGACTATGTTTGATACACTCGTGGAGCTAAGTGCAGAATTCAAGTTGAAGCAACTTCTGTGGGAATCTCTGGAGGAATGGGACTCTTTACAGGACGGATGGCATCAGGTGAGATACTGAAGTTCATCTGTCTATAAGCCTGAACTCTCCTAGAGTACAATGTTCGTCGCATATCCTCCTGAAACCCTTCGTCCTCATATGAGGACATTGCATTTTGCCTTTCTTTACCATGATACTTTTTTTTCTTTCTACTTTGAACTCTTGGCCTCATAGTAGAAACTATCAAATATATACAGATAAACCCACTGAGCCAATACGAAGAAAAACTACCTGTACCATGACAAAGTCTAGTTATGATCTTATTAGGTCCTACTAATCCCATATATCTTGAAAAAAGCAATAATGCCGCCAAAAAAAAGCTCGGGTCTCAGGAGGATATGTGGAAAAGTCTTGTCTTTTAAGTCTGTCTTTGTCTTTGAAATCATACCCACCATCAGAGCACGCTGAAGCAGCTGGACCTGGAGCAGTTCAGCTCTCAGGTTAGCATTTACAGCAAGAATGTCAGCCAACTGGAGAAGGGCCTGCCTCCCAACAATTTAGTGCCACGTTTAAAAGACAAGGTGGAAGTCATGAGGCAGAGGGTGAGTGGGATAAAGAGCTCAGTAGTGATTTACATTTGTCCCGACACATTTCCTTCTGAAATAATGTCACATTAAAATACGGGCTGCTGGCAACTAGTGCCCTTATGATACATCTATTTATACACTTTCTCACAGCTACCCGTTATCTCTGAACTGCGTAACCCGTCTTTGAAACCGGAGCATTGGAGGTCCTTGGAGTCTTATGTGGGCACTCCATTGAACGTTGACCTAACTGTGGCTGCCCTGGAAGAGCTCAATGTTTTCTCACATGGGATGGAGATACAGGAGGTAGGATAAATGATGAATCTACAAGCTTGTCTGGGTCTTTTGTTATTGCTAATAGCCAATTAGCCAATTTAACACAGTTTTTTGCTAGATCAGTTTTTATATTTTAAATAATGAACTAACAATGATTTGTACCACAATTATAATTAAGATTTTACTTTGTCAAATTATATCAAACAGATCCATTAACTTACAATGGGTTAGTTTTAAATCATTAAGGGATGGAAAATTGTTTTTTTTATTGATTCTAAACTAACAGTCAGTGAACTCATTTGTATAATTTACCACCAATCATGGGCATTTAACCATTTTTCATGTGAAAAAATTACTTACTTTGATATGATGCAAGATTAAAATTCTTAGTTTAACTAATTTAGATCTTTTTCTTCAAGTTTTACACAGTTCACTTCAGGTGTCCCTCTTTGTTACAATAATAATTCAAAGGAAACCATTTTGAAATTACTTTACAGCCATATTTTAAACGCCACCCTAAATAATTAATGTAGAAGTTAAACCACAACAATAGGAATTGACTGCATTTGTTCTTGCAACACCTAAAAAAATACACCGGTTTCAAGTTAAACTAAATTTGTCCTCAGGTTATTAGCAGAAATAATTTAACTTGATGTGTTTTGATTTCAAGGTTTCAGGACAGGCTTCAGGAGAAGCCTCAGTGGAAACCATCATTTCAAAGGTGGGTGGTGTACACATGAATATGTATGCATATGAATGTTTTCACAACATGATTATCATTGCCTCGGGTATAGAGAATTGTTCTATAATCATAATATCAATAATTAGCAAATAATAATGAAAAGTGAATAATCATTATGATACAAAACTATTTTAAACTTTGTAAAATGACTTATATTTAAATGCAAAAACACAAAAATCCATCGAAGCACAGTTTATTGTGTAATAATGAATTTGTAACCGTAACGAAAGAAAAGGTTATACAACCAACAAGTAAACTTAATGGACAGCGACAAGGCAACTGAAGCAATTAGCAAACAAAAGATTAAAAAGGCCTTTACATAACTGAGGCGCCATTTGTTCCGCCAGCTTTCTTTCATCCTTTGATTTGATCTGGAAATCGTTCCAGTCCCAATGTCCTTGGTGTTTTTTCTTCATCCTCTAAATACAGCATGAGGAAAAGGGGTATTTCTGAAAGAGCAGAGAGCAAAGAAACACAAACAGTTACTTGTTGAAGTCAAGCAGTAACCAGTTTAATCATTCTCGTACATTTTAATTTTCTTTAATATATTCACTCAATGAAAACAGCTGAAGGAAAAAAATAACCCAAACAAATTAAGTTACCACTGCATAAAAGACATTAAATACACCAGATAAGCTAAGGTCATGCCTTTCTCTGTTTATTCATTAGTATCTGTAGTGTCATACTGCTTCAGTACATTTTGATCTCTGACTCAGGGTTGAACATCTATAAAGCCACATTGGGAAGTTATCTGTTTTGTTTACCTTGCAAACAGAACTGGGTGTGTTTTAATGTTGTGTACTGATCAATGCAACAATATTATCACTGGTCAAGAGGGGCGAAACACCCTGGACCAGCTTCCTGTCCATCACCGGGCAACACAGAGACAAGCAACAACCCAATTTGTGCTTTCAAATGTAAACAGAATAACTTAGCTGCTCATTTAGAGAAACTGATATTTTTGGCTGAATGCATATGTTCAAAGCAATATTCAATACAGAACTATTTCAATATAGGAAACTGTTTAAGCTGTTTAACCTTATTTCAGGTGGAAGATGTGTGGAAAACCACAGAGTTCACGGTTCTGTCTCATGGTGACTCCAAAGAAGTCTTTATCTTGGGAGGTACTGATGACATACAGGTAAAAACACTCACACACAGCACACACACTGCTATAACACTAGCATTTGACTGTCTCTCGTTGTGTGTTTCTGGTTGTTTTGATGTCTGTTTACGATAAAGGTGCTCCTGGATGACAGCATTATCAGTGTGGGAACAGTGGCCTCTTCACGCTATGCAGCTCCCATCAAGTTCAGGGTGGAAAAACTGCAAAGACAGCTAGCCCTCTTTCATCAGACACTGGTAAAGCCTTAAAGAGAATAGCATACTGTGGTCTTTGACTTGCAACTATTCCTTTCCAGATAGTCAAGGCTTGGCCTTTTATTTGATTCTTGTCACATTGGATTTTTCCTGAAATGTTACACACCACCTCCCTCTAGTGGATACAAATAAGATGCCAAAAATTCCAGTTTGTGTTAGAAAATATTAACAGTGTTGCAGATAAATCTGCAATTTCTTATTTGGATTTATTCCCCCAATGTTTTTCATTTTCCTTGTGTTTACAGTGTCCCTTATGTGTTTTTATTCATGCCCAACCTCCTTTCCAGGAAGAGTGGCTCACATGCCAAAGAAACTGGCTGTACTTAGAGAGTATTTTCTTGGCACCAGACATAAAGAGACAGCTGCCAGCTGAGTCTAAGATGTTTCTTAAAGTGGACAAGTCTTGGAAAGAGATCATGGCGAGGGTCAGTCGGATGCCCAACGCCCTTAAAGCTGCCACACATCCTGGCAAGTGACCATATGTGGAAAAACTAGCAATAAAAACTGTAGAAACTGAAAGGCATGGATGAGTCCCACACGCCCTCATTCAGGTTAATTTCTTATTTTGTTTTTTTATAGAGCTTTTGGAGACTTTTAAGCACAACAACAGTCTGTTGGATGAGATACAAAAGTGCCTTGAAGCTTACTTGGAGTCCAAGAGAGTCATCTTCCCCAGGTACTAAACACAATATTTGTTTGTTACTTATGGGAAATGTAGACTCCAAGGTGGGGAGAGAGTTTATGCATTTAGCAGATGCAAGTGTTTTTGTTGTGTAGAATCTGAAGATGTTTCACCTTCCTCACACAGTCTAAAAACACACATTTTGGACTGATTAGTGACTCTAAATTGACAATAAAAGCAAGTGTTTGCATGGTTGTATTTTCCATTTATTTTATTTTTTTGTCCCTGTGTTTGCATTGTGATAAACTGATGACCAGCTCTAGTTTTACCCTTCCTCTCACCCAATAGGGAGACCATTTTGTATGTGTAATATGCTTATATGCATTCTTTATGTGTTATTACCAGATTTTACTTCCTGTCCAACGACGAGCTGCTGAAGATATTGGCTCAGACACGGAACCCACAGGCGGTTCAGCCCCACCTCAGGAAGTGTTTTGATGCCATTACACGACTAGAGTTCGCTTTGCTGTCTGCACAATCTCCTGGTGCAACAGGAATGGTGGAGGAGGCCATGCACAGCAAAGACATCCTTAATATGGTATCCCCGGAGGGAGAGAAGGTCATTATTCCCCATGACAGTGTTTTATTCTGCCCGATATTATCTTGTTATAGTCCTTGCAAAGAGAGAGGAGAGGATGTGAAAGGGGGGGGAAAAAAAACTTGCGAACTTCCTTAAACATCTGTCTAGTATCTTATTCTTTTTATCTTCTTTTATTTGACCACTGACTTTGCCAGGAAAAAAGAAAGAATTTTACGCTAACTTTAAGAGATATTGCACTGAAATCAAATGCCATGAGTAAGCTTGCTATATATTATTAAATAGAGATTGCTTGCCATTTTAAACTACCGTACATTAATATTTTTAACATTTTACCTTATTTAAATATCTATGTTCTTTAAATGATAGATTTGGAATCTGATATGTCTTTTTTTATCTATGTCTTTGAAAACTGATGCAGATGATTTCACATAATTGCTGATAATAATTCAAAAGAGTGAGAATCAAATGGTAACCTGGAATTGAAATTGTCTCTCTTTGCTCGTAGGTTCGTTTGACCGAAGGTCTTAAGGCTCAGGGAAATGTGGAAGATTGGCTTTGCAGGGTTGAGGAGGCTATGTACTCCTCACTGAGACGCCTGAGCAAAGCTGCAATAGCGGACTACCAGGGGAAGTCCCGGGAGGACTGGGTGGTGGCCGGACATCCATCACAGGTATCAGCCATATGTCCACAAACCAAACAGGGATTTGTGTTTTTTTAAGTCACAGAATATTGAGTTTGTCACTGTAGTGTATCAGCCATAATCAATCAACCAATCCACAAACCAAACAGGGATTTTTTATTTTTTTAAGTCACAGAATATTGAGTTTGTCAGTAGCATCACACAAAATTTTTATTATTTTTTCAGAAATAATAGTGTGTGGTACGAATGTACATGTGTATTTTTACATTTTTAAACATAAAAAACAAGCAAGCAAACACAAACACAGGGTGATTATAAGAGTGTGAGAAAAAAACAAACAAAAAAAAACAACCTTATTGCATAATTAGTGGAATGACAGGTCTCCAACGTTTATTGAATATGGGTGTTTGTAGTCTCAGGGAGTATGTTATATATTCCATTTGGTATATGTCCCAGACCTTCTGGATCCATATATTATAGCAAGGAGGCTCAGGTTGGAGCCATCTGATAGTTATGCACACAGTTTAGTTTTAGAGCATTGATGCTTTGTCAGTATTTTTTTTTCTTTCTTAGGAGAATGTAATTCTTGTGCTGTCCACTAGGTGGTGCTGACCGTCTCACAGATGATGTGGTGCAGGGACATGGACGCCTGCCTGGAGGGGGACCACGACCACTTTGCTGCTTTGCAGGAGTTTGAACTCACTAGCTTTGCTGTAAATCAAAGCATAAGTTTTTCTTTATTCCCTGACACATTTTTTAAAACTATTCGTAACTAAACGTAATTTTGACAGCACAATGTTGAACTGTGGGATCTGGTTTGGGTTCATTTCAGAGGCTGAACACTTTAGCAGCATTAGTACGAGGACAGCTTCCTGCTTTACACCGTAACATCATCACAGCCCTCATCACAATCGATGTCCATGCGAGGGACATTGTCACAGATCTAATCCAACAGAAGGTAAAGCAGAGCGATGGTGATTCTACACATTTTGAAGCAAAAGTCTGAGTCCATCTGAGGAAGTAAGAAATAGAAATTTATTAAAAGGGAAAAAAAGAGAAAAGGAAAACTTCATGAAGTGAGAGCAGTTAGTTTGATCATACAGGTGGTTCATATGACGTACAAAACTGCCCCAAAGTAAAACAAATCATGGTGCATTTTATACCCCTCTGAGTCTGAAAATAAGACGTAAAGTCTGTCCTTCATTCTGCACCTGGATAAAACAATCCTCCAGACAAAACATTAAGAGATAAAGTATAAGGAGACCCTCTCTGAGACCTAGAAGGAGAAAATAGTCCCATGAGAAAGAAAAAGAACCTTTAAAAATATTCACTTGTGGAAAGTGATTATACATATATTGATTTCCCTAACACCTCAACATGATATAATCGATACACAATTTAAATGTAGATTTTAATTTATCTTTGTAATCCGAAAAATACCCCTTTGGAACTATTGACCTTTGTTTTTCAGGTTGATTCCAGATCCAGCTTTGAGTGGCAGAGACAGCTACGCTACTACTGGGATCTGGACCTGGACAACTGTGTGGCCACAATGGCTCTGTCCACTCACACTTATGGTTACGAGTATCTGGGAGCCTGTCCGCGACTGGTTATCACACCACTCACGGTAACACGAAATCTTATATTAAAGATACTCTGTATTTGTAGATGGATCTACAGTTGTTATTGATTGAAAAACAATATATTTAATATTGCATCCTGCATCATGACTCTACTCAAATCCATACTTGAATGATAAGAGGCCTCGTCATGAGGCAGTTTTGGTCATGTGGCACTGTCCATACTTAAGTTACTTCTTCGAGATGTTTAGAATTTATATCTTACCGACAAATGAAATTGTCCTCAATGCGAAAACAGTGGATTCTCTTGTACACAGAATTATCCGTAATTATTTCCTTATCGGAAAAGGCTTCAGTCCCCCGCGACCCCATTTTGGAATAAGCGGTTCAGAAAATGGATGGATGCACGGATGGAAATTTCCTTATCAGCAGGGAACTGTTTAGCAAAGGTTATGTGTTAGTTTAAAAGCCCCTCAAATGTACCATAACCATAACAGAGTTATGTTTGAGTGCTAGTTTTTCTTTAATGTCCCATTCATCGAAGCAGTTATTAATGAACACAGTGAAAGATGTTCCCTTACTCTAGAGTCTAGTTTATGATTGATTTTATTATGTTGTCCTTATATGTCTTACTGTACTGCTGCCTCTTGGCCAGGTCTACCTCGAAAAATAGATTTTATCTCAAGGGACTTCCTGGTAAAATAAAGGTTAAATAAAATAAAAAATCCACCTGCTGATCTCCTGAGTGAAATGAACTGAAGTGCATAGATTGTGACCACAAATGAGAACGTCTCACAGGAGGAAAGACGGTGTGTTTACTTGTTGCCTTTTGGTTTGGTTGAAACATGCTTTCCTCCTCCTTCCCCTATTGTCTCTGCTCTGTTTTTGCAGGACCGTTGCTACCTGTGTCTGATGGGAGCTCTCCAGCTGGATTTGGGAGGGGCTCCTGCTGGGCCGGCTGGAACTGGGAAAACAGAGACCACCAAAGACTTGGCCAAAGCTCTGGCCATTCAGTGTGTGGTCTTTAACTGCTCCGATGGGCTTGACTACAAGGTGAGCCAACGACTGATCATGCGATAGATCATTTAGACGGAAACATTTTTTATAAATATCAGAAAACGCTCATAAAAAGGCTATTAAAGATATTTTTTTACAAGAGATTTAGCATATCTTTGTATATATAAAGCAAACAGTTTTAAGTACACCAATAGTGAGGAAGCCTGAAATTTTTTTAACCAGACACCAACTTGAGACGGTAACTGAATGTGTCAGATTTGGAGTTTTGTGCCGTAATCCGATTTTAGTCTCTTACATGCTCTGTCCTTTTGTGTTCTATGGTTTCCCCTCTAGCACCTGTTTCTGTTTTGTGTGTGTTTAAAGTGGTACCATTAGATGGCAGTCTTGCAAAAGCAATCAGACCCTCTACAAAGGGCCTTTTAAATCACTCTGTAGTTTGTCAAAAATATTAAACTTTTTTTGTGATATCCACAAATCATTTCTATTATTCCGGCTTTTTTGTCCTACCTCAATACTCTGTTTGGGTCACATACATATGTTACAAATGTAGATATCAAAGTAGGTGTCCTATTATCTGGAAAGATGCATGTAACAGAGGTCTGCCAGGTTTCAGACCTTTTATTTGGTCTACTGAATTGATTTATTTGAGTAAAAGCAAGCAGTTAAAACTTTGAATTTGCATCTTTGTCTCATTAAAATTCTAACAAATGGCCCAACCATACATTATAAAAAGTCTGACAGTTTTTGCCTCAGTTGGTTTGCTGTGTGTTTATGGCTAATGTCTTATTATACTGTTTGATTAAAACAGACATAATCTCTGTATAATATTCATAAATTGTAACCCTAAATTAAATATAAGGGAATCCTGTCTAAATTGTTCTATAAAACCCTCAGTCTGAGATTGGAGAAATGAAAACCATGAAACACAGTATATTCCTGAACAGTGGATTATTTTGGTGGTGCACCGAGGTCGAAGTCTCTACAGCTGGAATAAAAAACCAACGATGCACTTTTTGGAATCCATTTTCTCTTTCTGCTGTGCTGTTGGAATAATAAAGCTGAGGTGTATTAGAGGTGGACAGTACTTTGGTTTAGACTGGGCGCAAAATCCACAAATGTATAATATTTACATATATTTCCAGAAGTTACCTGTTTTGTTTTATGTTGCTTAGTGGGGTAGAAAAATCATACAAATATTTTCTTTTTAGCAAAAAAATGAAATCTATTTTAATGCAATTTATTTTAATCTAATGCTACTACACTGTTGTAATCAACTGAAGTACTAATGACTAAGTAAAATCAACTAAAGTGTCAAACAGCTATTGACATTTGTAATGTACAAAGTCTGTTTCTCATCATCTGACTCACAGATGATGGGGCGCTTCTTCAGTGGACTCGCTCAGTCAGGAGCCTGGTGCTGTTTTGATGAATTTAACAGAATCGACATTGAAGTTTTATCTGTCATCGCCCAGCAGCTCATAACCATAAGAAATGCTAAAGCTGCTAAGGTAAAGACATCCACACACATACACAAAAACCCACAACTTTTACAAAATATATAACCTCAGCCTGTAATCAGAAACATAGGGATAGGAGTAATTTTTAAAACTATATGTGCTTTGGTTAGTCTATTAGATTAAAATATGTACGAGTGTTATTTCTTTTTAAACAAAGAATGCCTCAGTGTGTATTTTCTGCTCCTCTCAATCATTCTGCTTTGATATTCTCAGGATTTGTTAGCAATTAAATTTGAGGTGTCTATATTTTGTGGAGAAAACACCAGAAACATCCTGGGGATATGAAGTATTTTACTCGGAGATTCGATTATATGATTATGATTTATATTATGAGGGCAGTTTTGATGAAATTCAACTTGAGGCACAAGCTACCTGAAACTTCTAGATAAATGGGATGACAGTCCAAGGTTAAGTAATTCATAATTATTAACAAATTAACACATTTAGAAATGAACAATTTCCATTAGTTCTATCTCACATGTACAGTGGGGGAAATAAGTATTTGACCCCTTGCTGATTTTGCAAGTTTACACACTTACAAAGAATGCTTATTTTTCCTCATCAGATGGTTATCAATTTTTATAAATTCATATGATGTGATTTTCTGGAATTTTCTTTGGGATTAGAATGTACATATGATTAAAGTTATAGATCGTTGCATTCTTTGTAAGTGGGCAAACCTGCAAAATCAGCAAGGGGTCAAATACTCATTTCCCCCACTGTAGGTGTACATATTCTAAAACCCCACAAAAAATGTTTCTTTCCCGCCTGTGTCATGCAGCTAAAGAGGTTTCAGTTTGAGGGCCGTGAGATCAAACTGGTAAAGACTTGTGCTGCTTTCATCACCATGAATCCTGGATACGCCGGCAGAACGGAGCTGCCAGACAACCTCCAGGCTCTCTTCAGACCGATAGCCATGATGGTGCCCAACTATGCCCTCATAGCCGAGGTAACTGGAGGTCTCTGTTACGGTTGTCAAAAGTATCGATACTAAAATGTTGTATCCGGATACGATACTCATTTTCAAAAGTATCGATACCCTCCCCCCTTCTCTCTCTGATTTATTTATGTATTTATTTACGTTGTTTATGATCATTAACAAGACGTTAGCCTTGTTAGCTGCGGCTAATGGCTAATAATAACATGCTACCATTAATCAAGTACATATCCAACTCCGCCCACATCCAAGTCGGCCATTTTGATTAGGTCACCAATAGGAAGATCCCAGGCAAGAAAATCCTAATTGCTTCATGGCAATATAGACAATAATTTAACAATAGTCAAATTAATCTTTCAAACACTTAATTAAACTCTATCCATAATCTTATGTTAAAATAGTGGATGTTAAATAGGTTTGTACAATAAGTCCAAACAACTTTAACCAAAAAATATTTATTTCTTACAATTATGAAGGCTGGAGGGTCAGTTTGAAATGAAAGACACAATTCTGTTCAATTTTGGGGTCTTTGTTTTTATCCTTGTGGTATCGAAACTGGTATCGAGTATCGAGTATTTTCCTGAGTATCGGTATCGAGTTGAACATTTTAGTATCGTGACGACCCTCTCCGTGCATGGGTGCGTTTGTTTTTTAGCTCAGCTGTCCTCACTACAGACTGTCCCTGTTCCTCTGACCAGGTGATTTTGTACTCGGAGGGATTTGAGTCCAGCAAGACCCTGGCGAGGAAGATGACCCAAATGTACAAACTGTGCTCGGAGCAGTTGTCCCAGCAGGACCACTATGACTTCGGCATGAGGGCGGTGAAGTCTGTCCTGGTCATGGCGGGGTCAGATCATCTTATCTGTTCACACAAATGCTCTCAGTTATATAGACACATTTCCCAAAGATACCACTGTGATTTTGGCACTTAGGCTCAAGCATGATTGGTTTTTAGAACACACTCAGTGCACTTCTTCCTGTTAAATTAGGGTTAGAGATTGGGCTTTTTTCCATTTTGTAATGTTTTTGTGAAATACTTTTAAATAGCCATGTGTATCTTACCTAATATGGCTACAAAAATTAGCTCTATGAACATATTTTTATACATATTCTTGACTATAGGTAAAGAAAATGTGTTTTTTAGCTTCAGCTCAGAGAGTTGTTCTAACTAGCTTAAGATGAATTGTTTCTCTGTAGTTCTATAGTACTCTTTGCTATTACTTTTAGATTGCTCGTGCCTCAGTGAGCACACACTTATCTCTCACCTTTAATTTGATGGTTTTACAGTCTAGTCTTGCCCGTTTGTTCAAGTCGTGAATATTGAATCATTAGCACATATTGGCTACTTATTATCTTTATTGCATCTGTGCATCTATAATTAGTAAATTTTTCATCAGCTAAGGTATTTATTGCATTAGTTTATAATTATTTTCACCAGCAACATTGGAAGTTAAGCCTTTTTTCTTTTTTCCTTATATATAGACAAGCCATTGTGAAATATTTACATAAGTTATGTGTGTGTGTTTCTATAGAAATGTTAACTTATATTGTATTTTTTTCATTTACCATGAAACACAACTTTTTTGTGTAGTCATACAATTCACTGAAAATACATTTTTCTAAAGTAATTTGGATGTGTTTAGGTCGCTGAAGAGAGATAATCCCCACCTCAGCGAGGACGTGGTTCTGATCAGAGCTCTACGGGATTCAAACTTACCAAAGTTTCTCACTGATGATGCTCTGCTGTTTAGGTAAGTCCGGAGAGTATTTGGGCAAGTATGTTTTACCTCAAGTTTTCTGCTTTCCAAACTTGATTCTTTAAACACAAAACGATTAGTAACTATATAACTACACTTAATACTTAACTGTACTTATACGTTACTATACGTTAAAATATATTTCATATATGCCATCAATTACTTTAGGTGGCTATATAAAGCCATCTTGCCATTTAGTATTGCTTTGTTTCCATAGTAACATTTAAAGCACATTAAATAGTCTGACTAAATGAGCTCTGTCTGAAATGATTCATCCATTTTGATGATGATGAGCCACTACATTGTTCTCCATATTCCACTCCCGAAGCAGACGATATCAATTAGTGAGTGGTGCGATGTCAAACCCATCCAAGTGTTGAAAAAAAAAAGGCTATGTGTTGTTTGTGTTTTGTGTGAAATCTTTGTGTGGATTAATATACCAGTATCCACTTCTCTGTGCAGCGGTATCCTGTCAGACCTGTTTCCTGGTGTGTGTATCCCTGATCATGACTACGGTGTTTTCCACTCCACTATCCTGGAGTCTCTGGCTAAGCGAAACCTCCAGCCACTGCCTAGCATGGCCAAAAAGGTGCAGAGCAAGTGGGAAAAGTCATGTTTGTTTAGTACTTTAAAGTGATCCGATTTTATTTGACACATCATATATATTTGAAATGATGAACTCCATCAGTTAATAAAAGATGAACAACTTTTTTAACTGCAAACAAAAATCTTTTTTAGTCGACTTGTCAACTCCTGACATAAATCTTTTCAACTGATCAATAATTCATAGCAAGGTTAACTTCTTTAAGAGTTACATAATCCACTTTTATTTTTTAATTGATTTATCAGATTATGGACATGTATAACAGATAACGTTAGAGAGTCTTCCTCACTTGCCAACAGGTAATCCAGCTCTATGAGACCATGTTAGTCCGGCATGGTGTCATGTTGGTGGGACCCACAGGTGGTGGGAAGACCACTGTCTACACTATCCTAGCAGACACCCTGGAGACCCTCCATCAGAGTGGGCACCAGACTGACAACCCCTTTTATAAGCCAGTCCAGATCCATGTGCTGAACCCAAAATCCGTCTCAATGGGAGAACTCTACGGAGAGGTAACGGGGACGGGAGATTGAAAGCATCGCTGTCGTATACTTACCTCTCTCTGCATTCATTTAACCCTTTAAAGCCTGATCCAAGAATTAAACAAAACAGAAAATTACTTTTTGGGGGTTTTAAGTCTTTATTTGGCCTTTTAACGAAATATGGAAAAAGAAAAAACAAAAAGAAAATTTTAATATTGACTAATAGACTGCCAGCCATTTTCAGAACAGAGAGTCCCATACTGCCAGAGTTTTTGAGCATTTTGACTGATTTTTCAAGAGCCACAGAATAGTTTGTGCTATGACTATGTAAACACCGAACACGCCAAAAGAAAGAGTAGACTATGTTCTTTCATCAGGAAAACAAAATTTGTTTCTACCTTATTCCGTTCTTCCTGGACTTGCGTCTCACCGGCGCCATTTTTCGCATAGCGAACCATTGTGTTTTTCTTATTTGCCTACAGTCTATGCTCATCTCCCATCAAAAGTGGCACTGCCCCCTAGAGGGTCAATTTGTTACTACATACTCTGTCTGGAAGCCTGATATTTACGGACAAGCTTTAGCAGATCGTCCCCCAAGCCACTCGCGTTGAAAAACATAAAAGACGTCTATAGACGTCTTTGGCGGCCAATGAGTTAATCATTTATTACTATGCGATAAGTCAAGATTATTTTTTGTGTAGTCTTCTGCCCCCTGTTATCAGGTGTATCTGATTGTGTACAACAGGATTTTGAGCAAAGTTTTTACCATTAAACTATGCAAAAGGTGTCAGACGCAAAACATTTCAGAAACCGTAGGTATCAAATATGACACATTTGGCCTAACAGGGTTAAACGTTTTACTCTATTCGAACAGGTTAACAGTTTAACTCTGGAGTGGCGTGATGGACTCATGGCTCTGACTGTCCGTGGTGCAGTTAGTGACCCCAGTGAAAGCCATAAGTGGGTGATCTGTGATGGGCCCGTAGACGCCCTCTGGATAGAAAACATGAACACTGTGCTGGACGACAACAAGATGCTGTGTTTGGCCAACAGCGAGCGCATCAAACTCACTCCATCTCTCCATATGATGTTTGAGGTTGGTTCTAAAGAAGTTAGTTAGTTAGTGGTTCTATGGTTCTAGCTTTACTCGTTAATTCCTGCTCTTTTTCATTCACAGGTCCAGGATTTGGCGGTGGCATCTCCAGCCACAGTCAGTCGCTGTGGGATGGTATATGTTGATCCTCATGAGCTAAAGTGGATGTCTTACGTACAGACATGGGTCAATGTTCCCGAAAACAAGGTGGCTGCTTAGTTTTTCTCTAACTTTAATGCGTAATTACGTGCAGTACATCAATGATGCTTGTAATCATGTAGATGTAATTGTATGCCTGACCTTTTTAAATCAGAGTAAATTAGTATTACGAACACAAATTATCTGGATTTGTAGTGTTGTATTTGCTATTTTTTGTTTTATGTTTAGATTTTCATGTTAATTTGCACCCTTGATCACAGTAAAAGCTTAGGCATTCATTTATACATCCCAAAATTCTGCGTCTTTTATGCCATTGCTGTATTCATTTTACTGTAAAACTGAGGCTGTGTCCTTTTGTCGGAGTGTCCTTTTAACTTCAGCGTCAGCATATATGTTGATGAAGGCACATCACAACAAAGTTAATAGGTTGCCACATTTGCCCAGAGCTTTGTAGGATAAAACATCAACAAGAGAAGGGCAAATATCTTCATTTGTTAGAAAACCCTCTTTGTCTTTATGTCAGATAAGCCTAGGTTACTATCTGTAAAAATTAAGATATTGACTTGTTTCTCTTTTTTATCTTGTTGTATTTTGTATTTCTACATGTTTTTTTCCTAGTATAACTGTTCATTTGTTTTAGCACTGTAAACATTTGGTTACTATTTCAACAAATGTGTAGAGTAATAAGAGTTTATTGTGTTTTTATTCAGTTTACATTGACTTTTTCAGTTATCTTAACAGAGGTATCGCTTTCTCTGTCATGTATATTAGCCACAACTATTTGAAAAATGTACTGTATTTTTATTCATTGGGATGTATTACTGCTAAAAGTACTAATACACATTTTAGGAAACAATGTTATGAACATTTATGATTATTTATTTTTGGCAATACTTGGACTAAAAGATCACTTTATGTTAATCTATTTGCTTCCAGCTTGCTTTAAAGATTATGTAGACAAGTTTCACAGTAGTTAACGTAACCTTTTCCCTCTTCCTACATTTTCTTGTCTGTGTCCCTAGTTTCCTGAGTCAGTGCGCGCATACCTGCTGCAGCTGTTTGAGCAGTATGTGGAGAAAGGTCTGCAATTTGTGCTGAAGAACTGTACTCAGGCCATTCGCCAGGTGGACATCAGTAAAGTCTCCACTCTGTGCTCCCTGCTGCAGGCTCTGCTGCTGGGCAGAGAAGGGCCACCCCTTAGTGTGGTACATTTATGTTTATGTTTATGTTTATGCATTAACACAAGATTCAACTTTCACTAAAGCTGCTTATCAGAATCAGAATCAGAAATACTTTAATAATCCCAGAGGGAAATTATTTTTGATACTAGCTCCATTAAGAAAACAACAGCATATACATATATATACATGTCTATACATATCTATACATATATATATATATATATATATATATATATATATACATACATATGTCTCTGTGTCTATATATGTCTATATATATATACATATATGTATGTATGTATATGTATATGTATATATATATATATATATATATATATATACAAAATTCCACACAGAATATAGATAAATATATAAATAAATAACTATATGTATAAAAAAGTGGTGGTGATAATGTCAATAATTAAGTGACACCTATAAGCTCAGACTCAACAATGAAATAAAATATATTTTGTTTTTTACTTCTAAACAAGGTCAAAGAAGCAGACACTTTGTTTTGTCTAAAAATGGGAGCAATATATTGCGGAAGCTACACAAATGTTTTAATAAATAAGTGCAAATTATATATTCCGTTCATTTCTCATTTTTAACAATCCCATTCCTCCCTTCTTGAGCTGCCTTCTTATTTATATGTACCTGTGTTTTTGCAGAAAAACCCAGAGCTGCTCAATGATGTCCTTTGTCAGACCTTTATATTCTGCTACCTTTGGGCAGTCGGTGGCAACCTGATCAGTTCTGACTGGGATGTTTTTGACGCTTTCATCAGAGACCAGTTTGAAGACAACGATAATGCAAAGGTATGCCCTGAGTGCACCAGCCAACAAAAAATGAACTGCGTCCCATGCTTTCATGATTCTTATTATTCGGTTGATCGGAATAAAATGTCACAAATGTACATATTTCACTTTTTCAGTGAGGCTAAACAATCCCATCTTCCATACCGCTGAGAGTCAAATCCATTTCCAATTAATTTAATGGTTATATCATGAAATGTGTGAATGGCCCTAGGTTGTACTGTATGTATCATCAAAGTATTCTTTACATACGATATATCCAGCGGGACTAAATCAAATTTAGAAGTTTCTGTGCTTATGTCTGTTGTTCATGTGGAATCAATTTTCTTAAAAATGTAATTATATTGGACAATAAAATCCATTGCTCAACATTACTCTGCCTTTCCTTCTGTTATGGATAGCTGGTGATAGACTGAAACATGATGACAGAGGGAATGTTTTTATGCCAGGGGCAGAATCCTGTAGGCTGGTAGTTTGATCGCTCACTTACCTGAGGGGGATAAAAAACAAATGTAGGAGGGAATTACACTCCACCTGTTTCTCTGGGTATCCCTTGAAGTGACAAACCTTTTACATGACATCTGTGAAATTATGCTAAAACAGCCTGCTCCATAAGACATTCTGGTTACATTATATATGAGCCTCGTCTCTACATTTTTGTAACTTTTATTTGAGAACTAATAGAATTGTGTGTTTTCATTTTCATGTGTGTTTATTTTCTAGCTCCCAAAATGTGGATCTCTGTGGAATCTCTATATGAACTTCAACGAGGAGCGTTTGGAGCCCTGGGAGAAGATAATACCTTCATTTATTTACAACAGGAAACAGCCTTTCTTTGAAACGCTGGTCCCTACCATAGACACTGTTCGCTATGGCTACCTGATGGAGAATCTGCTGTCTGTGCAGCGTCCTGTACTTTTCACCGGTGACACTGGAGTGGGGAAGGTATTTATTCTTGTTACTGCGGTACAGTTAGTCTTCCCTCAAATTGTCTCACAGTGACTGAAAAAGAAGTGCTTTTTTACATCAGTCTGTGTTTGTTTGAAAACAAAAAAGGTACCATTGAGAAAACACTGGTTTTACTTCATTCATGTGTTTGTTATTGAAGATTAACTAATTTATTAAGATAGCTGGACCACAGAAATAAAAAAAATAAAAAATTTCAGGGAGTGACCTTATGTCTTATTGATATGCATTGCGTGCAACCTAATTAATACATCAGGGCACTTTCAGTGTTACCACTCAATTCTCATATTGTATAATTCAAAAGGTATTATTGAGGAGGTATTTAACCCTTTAAGACCCGAGGCAACCCCTGCACTCATATGTGTTTTCAAGTCATACAATGACAATTTTTTTCCTTGTCTTTTACAGTCTGTGGTGGCTCGAGGCCTGCTCAACAGCATCCAGGAAAATGCAGGATACCTTCTAGTCTTCATCAACTTCTCAGCTCAGACCTCCTCTGCTCGCACACAGGAGATCATTGAGTCCAAGCTGGAGAAGAGGAGAAAAAACATTTTGGGTAAATGCTCGTTTGTGTCGTTATTTTAAATGCAAACCTGGTGATTTGAAGAACCATTCAGGGTGATTTTATGATGACATAATCAAAGCATCTCTTGAAAAACTCTCTCATAGCCTAACAGTCTCACTCATATACAGTACATTAGCAGTTTTATTCTTCAGGGTTTGACTTTCATAGATTACTGCAGTGCTGTTTCTCTGCTGGCTCTAAAATTATAATGGAGCTACCCTGCTAGTACACACCCATAAAGCAGGTTGTAACAGCATTTTAAAAAATGGCTGGCTCTAACGTACAATCAATGCATAAAATATCAATGGCCTTGAATGAGAGTAGCCGACCATTAATCTATGTTTGTGCAGCTATCCGCCTCTATTGTCCATCCATCAGCCCAAACATTTGTTAGCCCTGTCACCCTTTCTCTCCATTTCGCTCCTATCTAATGTTCTAATGGCCCTTTCTATAGGTCCTCCTGCTAACAAGAAGTTGGTGGTCTTTGTGGATGACCTGAACATGCCCAAGTTGGACCGTTACGGCTCTCAGCCTCCTATAGAGCTGTTGCGTCAGTTCCAGGATTTCTCTGGATTTTATGACAGAAACAAGTTCTTCTGGAAGGAGGTCCAGGTAGTCTATTACTGTTGTTCTATTACTAGTTGTAAAAAAAACAAAGTCCCAAGTTGCAAAGTTTCAATGTAGTGCTTTAGTTTTTGTGTTTACATGCTTTAAGATGTCCAAGCTTTGTGTTTTAACTAAAAATGTTTAATTAGCTTTGTGTTTGAACACTATGGAGCTGAATTTATACGTTTAATTTACAAATGTCAAGTTAATGATTTTGTTCAAACATTCAGGATTTGAAACTGACATGAGCTTGAATCAGTGTGGCACGAATACGATTTTGAAGACTATTATTATTTTTGTCTGAAACTATCGCAAAGAAAGGCTGACGATGCAGGGTTATCAAAAACTGTTCCCCCTCTTTTGAGGAGAAGTGGTTGAGTCAGTTTGTCTGACCTCATCATCCAAGCCAATCCTGGACATTTCTGCTGATAATGCTGATTATCCAGCTGCTCCTTATGATGTTTTTTTGTGGGGAAATCATTACTTTAATGACCTTTGGTAGTCTTGGATACTGGCAAACCTTCCTCCTAGAGAGTGTTCTTCACTTGGTTGGATGTGAACGTTTTTTTTCTCTCCCTGCTTAACTTCAAGGGGTTTTATGTGTTGCAGAACACATAAGTGTGTTTTTAAGATCGTATATCTCGCACACAGTTTTTTTTGTATGGTCTGTTTCTTTTTTTTTTTTACATGGGCAGCTCAACATGTTAAGTGTTCATCTTGACAGCTTCCAGATGTCAGTACGACATGAGAATCAGACCATCAATCTCATTAATTGATTGAGATATAATGAAGGAACATTAGCTCTGTTCATGAACATCTTATAAGACAATTAATCAATTAAGTTATTGTCCCTGAAAAATGGAGTTCTATATATTTCCAACAAGTGTTTGGTTACTTTCAAATTTAAGCTAAGAGTACTTTGAGTATATTAAGATTCTGGGTGGACACTTGTTTACAATTTAATAACCATCATCTGTTTTCAAATTGAGATTTCAGTGACCCCCAACCCCTTCCCCTCTGTTAATGCTTTATGTCTTCCAGGAAATGACAATTGCAGCAGCGTGTGCTCCTCCAGGAGGGGGCCGCAACCCCGTCTCCCCCCGATTAATTCGCCACTTCAGCATGCTGTGCCTGCCGACACCTTCAGAGCAGAGCCTGAAGCAGATCTTTAGAGTCAGTGGCTGTGTATGCATCCAAACACTCGACCTAACAAATGCAGGAACAGTACCGAACAAAGACTTCATTTTAGTTCTCAAAAGTCTGACAGTTATGTTTCTATAGACTGTTTTTATGGCATGTTAACCTCACAGTGTCACAGTCTCAGTGAAGTAAATATATCACCTTAAACTCAGTTGGATCTTAACATCTACAGAGTCCCAAAATTACTTGTCAAATTTTATTCTGCACCTCTCAGTTCATTTTTCATATACCACCCTTTGTAGCTCCTTTAATGTTTCTTATTTTCTGTTACCGATCTTCATCCAGGCCATTCTGAGCGGTTTCCTGAGTGATTTTTGTCAGGAAGTGAGAGACTGTGCTCTACGGATTGTGGATGCTGCTGTGGAGATTTATAAACGTCTGAGTGTGGATCTGCTACCGACCCCAGCTAAGTCCCACTACGTCTTCAATCTCAGGGACCTCTCCAAATGTGTCCAAGGTGGGGAATAAGCGTACAGTAGGCCGTGTCGTCTGTGACTTGAACTATAGTCGTGCATGTTTCTGACTGTGTAACTCTCAGTACACATTCTTATTCTCAAAGGGCCCTCTGGCTTTACTGAAAACTGCCCTAATCTTTCTACCTTCACAGCATGAAGCAGGGCTATAATTTATCTCTTCAAGCTACATTAACAACATTTATACGCTGTGTTTCTGCCTCATGCTCTCTAATTATCTGAACCAGCATTTCCTCATTCTTTTCCCCTCTTTACCCAGGAGGCATCATCACAGCATAAAAAATCATTGAATTGGATTCTTCCACTTTTTTTATATAATATCTGTTTAAAAAAAAGTGGAGCACATTGCTCTAACACACAGTACCCCAAAGTAAAATTTCAAAATATAAAATATAGTTATAAAACACACAGTCATTGATATGTAACCTCAGTTAAACCTTAACACTGTAGCACTATAGTGAAGCCATATGTGGGGAAATCAGTAAGTCAGATTGATTCTTGTATTGAATTAGATTTTTGTTTCATTGTTTTGATGTGCTGGTCTTTCCCTTTTTGCTAAATATTTACAAACATCTCTTCATGGCCATATGCTTCTGGCAAAAAATACTATATAAAATGATCCTTTATTTCAGTCGTTATGCACTCCTAACATCTTTTGCTCTCCTGTATCCAGGCATGCTGCAGTGTGAGGCAAGTCAAGTAAGAAACAAGACTCAAGTCTTCCGTCTCTTCTGCCATGAATGTCTGCGGGTCTTTCACGACCGACTTATCAACACTCAGGATAAGACCTTTTTCAACACAATCATCTGTGAGATGGCTAGTAAGAGCATACACTTACTTCACATTTCTGAATCCACTTAATCCAAATATTTGTTTAGGAACAGCTTTTTGACCTCCTATCTTTCCCTGTCAGGCAAATATTTTGATATGAACTTAGAGCCCTCAGACTTTGTGACACAACCCATAATTTTTGGGGACTTCATTAAGGTATACCTCAGAACATTATATTTACACACGTCTGAAAACATGGTACAACCCTTATGGATTTCCTTTTTGATCCATTTAATAATTGCTGCAGGTTGGTTGTGAGAGAGAAAACCGTCTGTATGAGGAACTGACAGACATGAATAAGATCCAAGCTGTCCTTCAGGAATATCTCAATGATTACAACATGACCTTCTCCAAAGATATGAAGCTGGTTTTCTTCCAGGACGCCATTGAACACGTCTCTAGGTGAGTGTAAACTCACACCGCAAACATAACTAGCTGTGCATATCCACATGCAGATCAGCAAAGCTCTGATGCTTGCTGTGTAATTGGACATGATAAGAAACATTTATGGAAAGAGTTTTTCACAATTTTTTTGTTTCATTTTACATTAAAATCACATTTACATGTAAATTATGTTCGCTTTTTTTATGTCTATTTTTACCCGTACAGCACTTTGGCAACTTCGGTTATTTTAAATGTGCTCTATAAATAAAGTTTGACTTGACTTGACTTGACAATTTCTGACCTCAGCTTACTGAATTGTTTTATTATTATTGGTTCATGTGAAATTTACTCAGCTGCAAGGACTGGCTTTTGGAAAAAAAAAACCATAATGGGGAGGGATTTGAAATAAGATCTTACACAAAGGGGAGAGATTTAGAAATAGAGATTATGGTCTTGAGCTTTTACTTTACCTTGATTTTTTTCATTTATACATTTTTCTTTTATGGCCATTGTTTTGTTTAGAAATCTACCTAAAAGTTGTATCTACCTTGACTTTTTAAACTGATTCTAAAGCAATTTTAAACGTTTTTTTCCTTTTTTTTGGCCATTCATCTTGTAGAATTGCCCGTATGATTCGCCAGGAGAGAGGCCATGCTCTGCTGGTGGGGGTGGGAGGTACCGGTAAGCAGTCCCTCACTCGTTTAGCTTCTCACATGTGCGGCTACCGCTGCTTTGAGGTCGAGCTGAGCCGAGGCTACAACTACGACACCTTTCATGAAGACTTAAGGAGGCTTTACAAGATGGCGGGTGTGGAGGGAAAAGATATGGTGTTTCTCTTTACAGACAATCAGGTATGAATGAAAGGTTACCCTGCAGTAAAACAGTTCAAGTTTAGTCTTTTTGCTGTTTTTTTTCAATTGCTGCACTCTCTCTTGCATGTTATAGATTATAGTAGAAGAGTTTTTGGAGGATATCAACAACATCTTGAACTCTGGCGAAGTGCCGAGCCTTTTTGAAAAAGAAGAGCTGGAGCAAGTTCTGGCTGCCACTCGCCCTAAAGCCAGAGAGGCTGGAATCAGTGAGGAGAACAGAGATGAGGTATACACAGAAATAAAAGGTTGCACAGTGCTATGTGCTATGTGTACATGCAGCTTGATGAATTCCAACTGTCTTAAAAGGATTTCATAAGTTAAACGCACAAACATGTAACTAAAAAGGTACAACAAACTAAAGTCAGGATCAGAAATAGAAGGCAAATTATCTGTTTGCTGTTGAGCAACAAAACATGCTAACTTTGCCACATCTTCCCTGATCTGCAGCCAGAATCAGCAACAGTCAGAATAAAGCAGGATATCAGGGAAATAAAATCTTATTTACCAACTTATTTACCATCTCCACGCCCCCACATATAACACATGTATGTTAATTGTATGCTTTTTAAAAATCTATTAAACAAAGCTATCCAGGCCTTTCCTCCCCACATTTTACCAAAATAAACAAATTAATGAGTAAGCAATTTAGAAATAAACAGAGCACAGACATAAACGTTAAACACAAGTCCACTTTGTGGGCTTTATAATGAACTATGCAGTCATCCACCTCTGAATAAGGTGGAGGGCTTTTGCCTTCCATTCCTGGAAGAGAGAAGCCTGATCACATTATGCAGTTATTTAAACTCAGTTTTTTAAATAAATATGTTTTTGAAAGATAATATCTGAATAACTGAAAATATTCTCACCTGTGAAATGTGGATTTTTTTTTTTTTATCTCAACCAGAGACCTTCTCTGTATCAGTGCTGATTTCCATCTTCACCTCAGGCTTCAGACTAGATAGGAGCTGTTTTATGTACTTTATGCTTGAGAAAACCTGCTCACAGTTTGTTGATCCGAACATGTAGAAGACTCTAGACCATCTGACAGAAAACAGATCGCCTGACAGACCTTTTGAACTTAGACACCCAGACCTGTTTATCACTCATCAGTATATTTGTAATGAAAGAATTCAACACTATACACTCCTCAGACTTTTTTTTTCTTCTTGGATTTATCTGTGATGGTTGTAATGGGAGTCAGAAGTGCATACAGTGGGGGAAATAAGTATTTGACCCCTTGCTGATTTTGCAGGTTTGCGCTTACAAAGAATGCTTATTTTTCCTCATCAGATGGTTATCAATTTTTATAAATTCATATGATGTGATTTTCTGGAATTTTCTTTGGGATTCTGTCTTTCACTGTTAGAATGTACATATGATTAAAGTTATATATCGTTGCATTCTTTGTAAGTTGGCAAACCTGCAAAAATCAGCAAGGGGTCAAATACTTATTTCCCCCGCTGTATGTTCCAAGAGCAGAGAAAAGCATCCACAATATAATGGAAATTATATAGAAGTACTAATATTGAATTTACATAAATAACACCCATACATAGCAAGCCCAAAAATGACATGCGTAGTCTGGATAATCTAAACTCATCTCTAATGTTTTCGGCCTACTGACGTGAATCCTGTGTGTCGTGGTGCCTTCAGGTGTTCCAGTATTTTATTGCTCGTGTTCGTGAGAGGCTGCACATCGTTCTGTGCATGAGCCCTGTGGGCGATGCCTTCAGGTCTCGCTGTCGCATGTTTCCGTCCCTGGTCAACTGCTGCACCATCGACTGGTTTGTGCAGGTACTGTTCCAGACAGTATTAGTATTTTTTACTAAAACCATAAATGTTCTGGCTCTATGGACATCAAAATTTGATGCTGGTCCGGGCGCAAATTTAGAAATATTGTGTTTTCTTTTTTTTTTTAAATAACAATCTTTCCTCTGATCTTAGTTTTAATACTTCCTTTATATTCTTTTATCTTCCACCATTCTCTTCACCCACTGTTGGTCAACATTGTACTTTCTTTAACTTGCTACTAAGTGAGCTACTTCTTTAACTTGCAAATGGTTTTGATTTGTCTCTTTGTTGGATTTTCTAGTTATCATATTTATTCATATGTTGCTTTTCTTCTGAACCAGTACTGAGAGTGCAATGAGCAACATTTCCTTTTGTTTACTTTCCCTTCCTCTCTTCTCTCTACCTTATGGTTCGCAGTGGCCTCGGGAAGCACTGCTCTCTGTCTCTCAGGCATTCTTCCAGGATGTGGATTTTGGCAGAGAGGAGCTGAAGCAGAGGGTCTCAGCCATGTGTGTGGAGACACATTTGAGTGTCACTAATATGGCAGAACACTTCTACTTAGAGCTGAAACGCCGGTATTACACCACGCCCGCGTCCTATCTGGAGCTCATTAACCTCTACCTGAGCATGCTTGAGAAAAAGAGAGAGCAGTTAATTCAGGTACGTCTAAAAACAATCAGGGACTCATTTTCAGGTGTGGCGTTGATAAGGCTCATATCATATTTCCTCAGATTCTAAAGACCATGTCCAACATGATGTAACAGATGTATTTTCTCTGTGTACTGAAGGCCAGGGACCGGGTGAAGAATGGCCTGACCAAGCTGCTGCAGACCAATGAACTTGTGGACAAAATGAAAGAGGACCTGTCTGCTTTGGAGCCGATTCTAAAACAGAAATCCGCTGACGTTGATGCCCTAATGGAGGAGCTGACTGGTGATCGGGAGAGGGCTGATGAGGTGGGTTCATGTTTTGATATGTTACGTCATCACAAAACTTTCAAAAGGGCACGCCTTTTAATTTTTTATGTATAGTTTTATAGACTCCTCAATGATTATCAAAAAGCTCCCTTTAGCCCCTGCTACGACGTTATGATATTTTAAAAGAGACAAATTATACCCCATTTCAACAAGTTAAACTAGTTCCCTGGTGTCCTGATTTAATGTCTGTGACAAGCTTTGGTCAGAATCCCATAAGGATGAAGCCCAATAGCAGTTCAGTCCCCCTGCCTAACCCTAACCCTAACCCTAACCCTAACCCTAACTCAAAACAGCCCCGTTCAGAGCGCTCGCTTTGGAGTGCCTGTCTCTTTAAATGCAAATGAGACACAGGCAATCCCCCCACTTCTTCAGGGAGGTGTGCCCACGTCGGCACGCTAACGCTACCATGCTAACGCTACCATGCTAACGCTCACGCTACCAGGACGTCTCCACAGATAGGGGAGTAAGCTGAGGGGGGGGGCAACATGCAGGTGAAAGGCTGGAATATTATAATGAGCTAGAGCTAATGACGTCAGAAACTACCCACTCCTGAAACCTCCTGATTTATCTCCTGGATTCAGACTGAGGCAGCCCACAAAAACATGACTGAGTCATTTTTTTTCACACTTTGCCTGCTGATAGGCCCTCCACAGTCCCAAATGTACACAATCAAATGATTAAAAACTTGGTTTTGCATAATATGTCCCCTTTAAAATCCATTCTACTCAAGTTTGCTCTCGCTACAGGTGCGTAAAGTGGTGAAAGAGGACGAGGCTTTGGCCAAAGTGAAGGCTGAGGACACCCAGGCCATTGCGGATGACGCCCAGCGGGACCTGGATGAGGCTCTTCCAGCCCTGGAGGGTGCCAACAAAGCCCTGAGTTCTCTGGACAAGGGGGACATCTCTGAAATCAAGGTGTTCACCAAACCCCCGGAGCTGGTCACGACTGTCATGGAAGCTGTGTGCATCCTGCTCAACTGCAAGTCAGTATGCATCTTTTTTAAATGGTCTCCTGTTTCAAAGGGGATTGTTCAAATTTCAGTTTTTTAAGTTTTACTTTTGAATGTGCGTATAACAACATGAATTGCAACAGAAAATGAACAGTAAAAAACGCAGAAATATTAGCTATTAGCACAATAAAAGGTAATAGAGCTCCAGTTCTCATTTATCCTTTGAAACCAATTTAACTCATGAAGCTGGATTGGAAATAGCTTAAATACCAAGCAGCTGCGGGGACCCTTATTTGGAGTTTACATGTTCTTCCCATGTTTTTATGGGTTCTTGTATGGGTTCTGCTTCCTCTCACAGTCCAGAAACATGCATGTTAGGTTAATTGGGGTCTCTAAATAGCCTTTCCCATAGGAGAGAATGTGAGTGTGTGTGTGGTTGTTTGTCTCAACCTGTCCAGGGTGTACTCTGACTCTATACAGGCATCCAAATTTACAGGTCAACCTCTAAATTTCATCAGTTTTTAATCCGTCAGATTGCTGTTTTAAATCCAATCCTGTCTTGTGTCCTATCCCCTTTATTCTTCTTTTCACCATTTGTTGTAACTGTAGGACATTTGCACTCTCTACTTCTCTTAAAAATGTGAAAATGCATTGAACCTACAATTTTTTGTCCATAAATTATGAGAACACCTATGAAACATCCATTTAATATATTTGTATGAGCCCATAGTTTATTGATGTACAATTTGGGTCAAATGGATCAGGTTGTTGTATATTTCTGATTATTCACCATGGATGGCCATCTCCAATATATGTGTAGGAATACCTACAGTGAGCTACTCAGTAAAGACGGACGATTGCATTGTCTGACTGGTCTTCTTTTTCAAATTACCGCATTATTACCGAGGCATATTTATTTGCCTAGGTATTAATAAATAAAATGAAGTGAAAATTGCGTTTTAATTCTGCAGACATTCATTTTCACCGTCTATTCCACCTTCTAAAACATTATCATATTGTTATTGTTACAAGAAAACTAATTCATCGCAGTGGGATTTACCGCTAGTTTTCTAAGTAGGATCATGTATTTTTTGGACAAATGAGGAAAGTGACATCCACAGATCATCTGCAGATCTAAATCCGAATAACCTTAAACAACAAACTGAGAACATGAAGAACCACGGGGCCCCTGTAAAACTCTTACACAGCTGTAACTGTTCTGGTGGCAAGAAGAAAACTAACTTTTTCTAAGTGATGGGTCATAAAATGTATCCATAACTTTAGATAAAGCTTAGACACGAAGAGCATCATGTAGAAAACTAGTTCCTAGTTTGTATTCAGTCGATGCTTGTGTGTGTTACATTTCCCTCGGCTATCTGTTTATACACATGTCCACAATTTATTCACCCTGACATGAATTTCAGGCCCCCCCTTGCTTTACAACGCCCCACTAATTACCCTCTCTCCTTACAGACCGGACTGGCTAAGTGCCAAGCAATTACTGGGAGATGCCAATTTCCTCAGGCGCCTCACAGAATACGACAAGGACAACATCAAACCCCAGATCCTCACAAAACTGCAAAAATATATCAGCAACCCTGACTTCATACCTGAAAAGGTCTGTTTGGAATGCATGTCAAACACTGATATTTTGCAGAAGCATCTCAGATTGTGTCAAAAAGTTTAAAAATGTTGGAGTGGGGTTCTTTAAATAGGAAAACGAAAAGTTTCCGTTTGCTCTTGCTCGTTAGTTAGCATTCCTTGATGCCTTGCTTCCATTAGGTGGAGAAGGTATCCAAGGCCTGCAAATCGATGTGCATGTGGGTCAGAGCTATTGATCTGTACACCAGAGTCCTCAAAGATGTTGGGCCAAAAAGAGAAAAACTGTCCAGAGCTCAGGTCAGTATCACAAAATAATGATAACGACAATTTGCTCTCATCAGTGAATACATTTTACAACTGAATGTATGTTGCTTTATCATTTTTTTTTTTTAAACCTTTAAAGCCTGATCCAAGAATAAACCAAACAGAAAATTACTTTTTTTTGTTTGAATTCCTTATTTGGCCTTTTAACAAAATATGTAAAAAGAAAAACAGAAATACATTTTTAATATTAATAATTTTTTACTATGCGATAAGTCAAGATTAATTTTTGTGTAGTCTTCTGCCTCCTGTTATCAGGTATATCTGATTGTGTACAATAGGATTTAGAGTTTTTACCATTAAAATACCATTAAATTATGCAAAAGGTGTCTGACGCAAAACATTTCAGAAACAGTATGTATCAAATTACAGGGTTAAAGTTAGGTTACATCTAAATGGATTCTTATTATACACCAATACATTTTTAACTGTCTTTATTGACTTGGATCAAAGAACATCCCACTTAGAATTAATAATACCACAAAAATAATTATTAATACAGTGTTAAGTTTCTGTAATAAATGCAATTTACAGACACTGAAAATCAGACAAGAAAACATATTTTTATCATGAGAGTTGTTTTTGTTTAGATTCCCCAAGTGGAAACTTCATAGCAAAGTCAAAGTTGGAAGCTCAGCTTTGACTTATTTATGATGGTCAGAATGATACTTTCCTGCATCGCAATTTCTTACTTTCCTTTGTTCTACGTTTTCAGGAAGATCTGGATCTCACCATGGCAACCCTGGAGAAGAAACAGCAAAAGCTTCAGGAGGTGGAGGGCCAGATCCGGGTCTTAGAGGAGCAGTTTGATAGCAGCATAACCGAGAAGGAAGAACTGGGTGACGAACACAATATGTTAAATACAGTGGGGGAAATAAGTATTTGACCCCTTGCTGATTTTGCAGGTTTGCCCACTTACAAAGAATGCTTATTTTTCCTCATCAGATGGTTATCAATTTCTATAAATTCCAATGATGTGATTTTTCTGGAATTTTCTTTGGGATTCTGTCTTTCACTGTTAGAATGTACATATGATTAAAGTTGTATATCGTTGCATTCTTTGTAAGTGGGCAAACCTTTCATGTTCTCGTTGTGGAAGGAAAAAAAAACGCTCATGTTATTTTTCATGCTTTTTCTTTCCTGAAGTGAATTCGATGGCTCTGACTCAGGCCCGGTTGACGAGGGCAGGGAAGCTAACGTCCGCTCTGGGGGACGAGCAAACGCGATGGGAAGGAAGTGTAGCCCTGTTTGAGCAAGAGATTATCAACGTTATAGGAAATGTCTTCATTGCTGCTGCCTGTGTGGCCTACCATGGAGCCTTCACCTCTAATTACAGACAGCTGGTTGGTAAACTGTCAATAGCTCCATACTGGAAACAGCTTATGTTACAAGAATGAACCTGCTGTAGTTTTTGCCCTTTGCCATTTAGCATCGACTATTAACTCATTGGCTGCCAAAGACGTCAATAGACGTCTTTTATGTTTTTTAACGAGAGTGGCTGGGGGACGATCTGCTAAAGCTTGTCCGTAAATATCGGCTTCTAGACAGAGTATGTAGTAACAAATTGACCCTCTAGGTGGCAGTGCCACTTTTGATGGGAGATGAGCATAGACTGTAGGCAAATAAGAAAAATGCAATGGTTCGCTATGCGAAAAATGGCGCCGGTGAGACGCAAGTCGAGGAAGAACGGAATAAGGTAGAAACAAACATTTTTTCCTGATGAAAGAAGAGAGTCTACTCTTTCTTTTGGTGTGTTCGGTGTTTACATAGTCATAGCACAAACTATTCTGTGGCTCTTGAAAAATCAGTTAAAATGCTCAAAAATCTCTGGCAGTCAATGAGTTAAATATAAAGATTGACTTTGAATTTGTTAATTGAAATATGAAGACACTAAACTTTTACATAGAGCCACTTTTATCGTCAAAGTGCACAATAAAACCATCTTTCAAAGATGTAGAAACAAAAGTGAATAAATTTCCTCTCTAAGTTGTCTAATGTGCTCCCGTTCCCAGCTAACCGACCAGTGGATAACACAGTGTCAGCAAATGAAGATCCCCATTAGCTCCAACTTCAGCCTCATCAGCATCCTGGGCGATCCATACATCATCCACCAGTGGAACACAGAGGGCCTGCCCCGGGACACAGTTTCCACAGAGAACGGGATCCTGGTGACCGAGTGCCGCCGCTGGCCTCTTATGATTGACCCACAGGATCAGGTTAACATGAAATTCCAATCCAGATATAATTAACTTAATGATATATACATAGGTATTCAGTTTTTATAATGCCAAATGTATCATATTTGATACATACGGTTTCTGAAGTCTTTTGGATCTGAGACTTTTTTCATCATTCAGTGGTAAAAGCTTTGCTCAAACCCCTGTTGTACACATTCAGATATACCTGATAACAGCCAGCAGAAGACTACACCAACATATATTTTTGACTTATTGCACGCTAATTTGATCAAAATAATTTCTGTTTTTTTTTCTTCATATGTTGTTGACGGGCCAAAGAAAGACTTCAGACAAAAAAAAAACAATATTCTTCCTATTTTTCAGATATTACTATATTACTATATTTTCAGATATACATGATAACAGCCAGTAGAAGACTACACCAACATATATTTTTGACTTATTGCACGCAAATTTGATCAAAATAATTTCTGTTTTCTTTTCTTCATATGTTGTTGAGGGGCCTAAGAAAGACTTCATACTAAAAAAATCCAATATTCTTCCTATTTTCCTTTGATCAGGCTTTAAAGGGTTAAGTTATATGAATTTGTCCTCCTCAGGCCACCCGGTGGATCCGCTCCAAAGAGGCTAAGAATGGACTGAAGGTGATAAAGCTCACTGACAAAAACTTCCTTTGTACTCTGGAGAATGCAGTACGCATGGGCATGCCGGTGCTGCTGGAGGAGGTAAGTACATCCAGATAAAATCAAAATCATAAAAAAGACATTTGTTTTCACTTGCAGATTTTATCCATCTTTTATTTACTACTTAAAAATGGCTCAAAGACAATCAAGAGTGTGACCACTAAACTGGCTTGTACTTTACTGTTTTTTTGTTTTTGTTTTTTTGTTTTACCTTCTCTTGTTTCTTATGCATCTGTGTATTGTCCCTCCCCCTTAATGCTAACACCTTTTAAAAGCCTAACCAGGGACGAAGGCTGCAAATTAGCCCATGGCTACAAGCCTTATGTACTTGGACATCGGCCACCTGTTTGGTTGCAATGATTAATTGCACTGTCCCTGTCAAATAAACAAATAAATCAATACTTTCACGTAGCAATGTGTTAAGTACATAAGCTTTTTGTGTGTATGCACATGTGTATTTATGTGAATTCTTCCACTCTTTGTGAATAGCTGAAGGAGACCTTGGATGCTTCCCTGGAGCCCCTCCTCCTAAAGCAGACGTTTGTGGCTGATGGACGGACATTGATCCGCCTCGGAGACTCTGACATAGACTATAACAAAAACTTCAGATTTTACATGACCACAAAGATGGCTAACCCACACTACCTACCAGAGGTAGAGACAGTCACTTTACATTTCGGTTTTTAGCTTTAGCACAGGCTAAATGGATTAGTCTGTTGGTTTGAGATGTTTGTCTCTGTGTTGAGTGATAATGATTTTCTAAGGCCAACTTTTTAGCAAATATCCTGTTGCTGGTTGACTGGCTTGATTTTGTGTTTAATCTCCCTTCTAGGTATGTATCAAAGTTACAATCATCAATTTCACAGTGACCAAGTCTGGCTTAGAGGATCAGCTGCTCAGGTACACACACAGAAAAGCAGAAATCGCTCTGTACAAAAATAATGATATTCCCATTTACACATCCACATATTTAACTGTTTACTTAGTTTAAGTGGGTATAATATTTATTTAGATGTATCTGTTGATTTGTGATTGTATTTGCATTCGTCCCTTAAACTCGTTACTCTTTTTTAAGCGATGTGGTTCGACTTGAGAGCCCCCATCTTGAGGAACAGAGAAATGACCTGATTGTGCAAATCAACGCTGATCGCAATCAGCTGAAGGATATCGAAAACCGCATCCTTAAGCTTCTCTTCACCTCAGAGGGGAACATACTTGACAATGAGGAATTAGTTCAGACCCTTCAGGAATCAACGGTAGGGCTGAACTTAGACTGAATCGCCTAGTCATCAATTAGTCCAGTGTTTTTCAACCACTGTGCGAGTGATCATCAGGTGTGCCGTAGAAAATCATCCTATTTCACCTAATTGGTCTAAAAAAAATTTTTGATAAGGAATTAATTTTCTGCAAATAATATTCCATTTTTGAGTGTCTGTGCTGTTCTAGTGACTGGTGGCGTAATCATGTAATAATTCCTTATGACTAGATTTTGTATATAATTTTGCATATTGAAGTGGACATGTTAATTAAGTGCAATTTGAAAGAAGAAATATAAAATAAGATAAAAATACATTTTTGTGCTTATTTGATTCCTATTCATGACACTTAAGATAAGATAAGAATAAAATAAGAATAATTATAGTGTTTCTATAGGCGGCTACAGATTTGTTTGACATTTTTGGTTGGTGGTGTGCCTCGTGATTTTTTCAATGAAAAACTGTACCTTGGCTCAAAAAAGGTTGAAAAACACTGAATTAGTACTATTATTTCTAATTTCTCTTTATTCTTTTCCTTGTGTGTTTTAATTGTTTTTGTCCTCCTTGCTGCTGTTCTTGTCTCACATATCTTATTTCCAGATTACTTCAGAAGCCATAAAGCATCGTCTGGAGGAAGCAGAGGCCACAGAACTGATGATAAACTCAGCCAGAGAGCGCTACAGACCTGTGGCCACCCGGGGCTCCGTCCTGTACTTTGTCATTGCCAGTCTCTCTGAGATCGATCCCATGTATCAGTTCTCCCTTAAGTACTTTAAACAGGTCGGCCTAATTAACACAGTACAGTGGGGGAAATAAGTATTTGGCCCCTTGCTGCTTTTGCAGGTTTGCCCACTTTACAAAGAATGCTTATTTTTCCTCATCAGATGGTTATCAATTTTTATAAATTCATATGATGTGATTTTCTGGAATTTTCTTTGGGATTCTGTCTTTCACTGTTAGAATGTACATATGATTAAAGTTATAGATCGTTGCATTCTTTGTAAGTGGGCAAACCTGCAAAATCAGCAAGGGGTCAAATACTTATTTCCCCCACTGTAAATGCAATACTTAAACACACTAAACATTTAATCTTTAGATTAAATCAATGACTTTTTATTTACTTTTCTTTTTCCTTTTGTGTTCCATTTTTATATTGTAGCTTTTTAATTCTACTCTTGAGACATCAGAACAGAGTGATGTCTTAGAGGAGCGTCTTCAGGTCCTTCTCCACCAGATCTTGCTCAACTCCTACATCAGTGTTTCACGAGGCCTTTTTGAGAAACACAAACTTGTTTACAGCTTTCTGCTGTGCGTAGAGATCATGAAGCAGCGTGGAGAAATCTCAGACGGGGAGTGGCAGTACTTCCTCCGGGGGGCTTCTTCTTTGGAAAAGGTGAGACGAATATTCTAGTTAGGCTGATTATGATTAGCTGAATTCTAGTTTGACTATAAAGTGAATTACCACTTTCGATTTAATCTGTTGTGCCCGACAGCCAGCAAATTGTTGAGATTTTCCATCTATATTCATGCATGGGGATTTAAAGGCCAAGACCAGAACAAACTATTTAAGTATTGTGTTTGATTTAATGTAGAAGTATGTAACCCTGCTCTCGATTATTCACCAATTGCAGATTTTGTTCCAACCTTAAATTGTGTTCTTTCACATTTGGTTTAGGTTTGAGTTGTTTATGAGAAAGAAATCGTTATCCATCTTTGTTTCAACCACCTTTTTGCTGCAGAAGTATTGATGCTGATAAAAACAGTCAGTTATTTCTTTTTTTTAGAGAGAGACCAAACAAACAATGCTTCCTGTGGTTCACACAGCTAAACAAATGTTTTTGTAAAGGTTAGATGAGAAATATGCGTTTAGCTCTAAATTCACCTGGCACACAATGTCCATAAAGGCTTTTGGCATTTCATTTATAAATATCTCATTGCCTCAAATCCACTATGGGGCCTTTTTCTGGTCACCTTCAGAGTTTCGCCACGTTTGGCTCAGGTAATATAAGAAAAATCCACCTTACTTTTTTACTGTTCAGAGTTTTCTCGCTGTCCCTAATAGAGCAAAAGAATGTTTGAGGGGAAAGTTAGCTTAAAGAAATGAATAAAACAACCATTGGGATGTAGCTTCTGTTTTATTGATGGGTTCAGATAGGTTTAAAAATCACAATAGGGATCAGTCACGGTCACCAGGGTATATTTCTGGTTTTCACCCATAATTCTGTTCTCATTTATGTGGCATTTCTACGGCTGAAGCTGCCATGATCCTAATGACAACCCTGTCTTTTCCTCCCCCACCATCACTTATTTAATGTCCTTTGTCCTTTGCCTCACACCTTCTGTGCATCTTTCATAGTCTCTTCTGCATTTTGTTCTGTACATTTTTTTCTATAAATTCTGTTTACGCGCCAAAGATGTTTTACAACTTCCCGCACACTTTTATTGGAACTCTTTAATTCTTCTTCACAAGCTGTCTACTCAAGGCTGGCCCTCTATCTTTTTCCAATATCTCCCAGGACTATGCAGATAGGCCAGATGTGCCATGGCTAAGTGATTTTTACTGGCAGAGGTGCTGTGAACTAGAAGACACACTGGCTTGCTTCAAGGGCATCTCAAAAGAAATCATCAGAACCCATATCCATATCAGTCTGGGTAACTCAATTTATTGCATTTCTGCTTGATCCAGCAAAAGTAAAGATATTCAGTTTGTTAAGCTGCATCTAAAAAATGAATATGTAAATGTTTGACATATTTAAGTCATCACATTTCACCACCCGGCTCATGTATTCTGACACGTTGGCTACTATCCTTTTACCTCACAGTGTTTAAATCCCATTTCCTAACGAGGAAAAATATTGCATAAAATGAATGTCAAACTTTGCCACATTAAATGAGTCATCCTTCCCTCAGGCTGTTTTCAAGCATCTGTTAATCCTGAAATCTGGGAAGGCTATGTGTCAGATTTGCCACTCTGTGAGTCCAAAAAGAAGAGCCACCGGATAAAAGGCTGCTGGAATGAGAGGTTGGGGGCCTTCCAAAAGCTTATTCTTATCAAAAGCTTCATGGAGGAGAAGGTGAGCCTGGAAAACGTCTAGGATTTGTATTCTTTTTCTAAATCTATAATACAAGTGAGGAAATATTAAATAAGCAACATTATTATGCTTGACAACTATGTGAGTAATTTCTCTATTACACAACTAAGGTGGCTTTAAAAGTGTCATAAAAACTTTTCAACAATTGAGCTTTTCTTTGACCAATTGTCGCTTTTTTAAATATTATACTTATTCTTTGTTATGCTCCAATGCAAACCTGTGCTGTTTCTGTTTTTCTCCTTTCAGGTGGTGTTAGCAACTACTGAGTTTGTGATTGTCATCTTGGGAAAGCAGTTTGTGGAACCCCCCCCGGTTGACCTCTCTAACATTTACAACGACATTTCCCCCTCCATCCCACTCGTTTTTATCCTCAGCACTGGATCCGACCCCCTGGGGGCCTTCCAGCGCTTTGCTAACGAGAGAGGATGTCTTGACAGGTAAACAATTAAACGATCGATCATTTATCTTAAGACAATATAGGAGGAACTTCAGAGCCGATATTTATTTACAGTCCTCCTACCTTTACTGAACAATAACATCTCGAAAGCAAATTTTGGTTAGAATCCTGAAAAATAATAATTGCAGTTTGATATAATAATTTTCTTTGTAAAATGGTATTTATTCAATTTATCTGTGTTTCTCAGGGTGCAGTCCATCTCTCTGGGTCAGGGTCAAGGGCCTATTGCAGAGAAGATGATAAAAGCAGCAATGGAGAACGGTGACTGGGTCTTCCTCCAGAACTGCCATCTGGCTGTGTCCTGGATGTCAGCCATGGAGGAGCTCATAAAGACGTTCTCTGAGCCCGGTATTAACTCCAACACACACAGTGGGGGAAATAAGTATTTGACCCCTTGCTGATTTTGCAGGTTTGCCCACTTATAAAGAATGCAACGATCTATAACTTTAATCATATGTACATTCTAACAGTGAAAGAAAGAATCCCAAAGAAAATTCCAGAAAATCACATCATATGAATTTATAAAAATTGATAACCATCTGATGAGGAAAAATAAGCATTCTTTGTAAGTGGGCAAACCTGCAAAATCAGCAAGAGGTCAAATACTTATTTCCCCCACTGTACATCTCAGGAAGTCAGGAAGGGATGATGAGCTTATGTGCAAAAAAATATGCTTGTTTTTCACTTAAAGCTGTTTCCTTCATTTCTTTTGTTATTTGTTTTTACCTTGTCCTGTTCAGCATTATGGCAGCAGAACTAAAATCTGAGTATCGTTCTATACAGAACAAAATTGCTTTTCCAAGGGAGGCTTTGTTAGTGAGAAGCCCCCCTTGATTATCCAAAACTGTTTTATCTATTCCTTTTTGTTACCAAACTTACACGTGTCTAATAATGCCGAACCTGACAGAGGGACAGGGAAGAAAGAAGAGCAGTGGAAAGGAGAGAGATCCTTTAGTCAGAAAGAGAAAGGGGGAAAAAAGAAAGAAAGTTTCCTCAATTTCTACGTGCGTAATCACCAAGATGTTGCATTTAGTTCAGAGCTCAGTCAGAAAGTGACCTTATGAGTATACTGATAATATCCTACATCCCATGTGGAACAGCAACTCAATGAATAGGCTGCCAAAATTTTTCTAAAAAAGATCAATATTTTTCTTTTAGCTTAATAGAAAACACTTGATATTGCAGCGACTTTGCAAACATACTTCAAATACATTACTATGTGTCCCACTTGTTTATCCTCCTGAAATATTTGATATATAAAACATAATGTATGACCAAATGCTTTTCCTTAACTTTTATGTGTGTTCAAAAAGATATCTTTTTTCCTGAACCATTCGTTCATTTACAGCTTTGAATAAAATTATCTTTTGTGTTTCGTTGCAGACACACAGATCCATACAGACTTCCGTTTGTTCCTCAGTTCCATGCCAACAAAGGTTTTTCCGGTTACAGTTCTCCAGAACTCCGTCAAGGTACTCACACACATACAAATGATGTGCCATTATAATCCCATTTCAATTCAGTACTCCTGAAGATTATCTGTCAGAGAATGCACCGGAGGATTAATGTTTCCGGTGCAAACACTTTTTTTGCATTCACTTGGGTTTTAAAAAATCTGCATTCCCTGTACTGAGCAGTGCAATCTACCTTTGTAAGCCTGAGGGTTCTTATCAGATTTTTTTTCCTGAGGAAGATTCACAGCCAAATATATGGAAAACAATTTTCTGAATTACTATGCTGAGCAGAGGCTCACAGACCTTGGAGAGACTGTGCATATTTTTTTTTCAAAAGTGCATTGAGAAAGTTTGATAAATGGAAGATGAGAACAGCTGGTGATGTTTAACCCTTTAAAGCCTGATACAAGAATAAAACAAAACAGATTTTTTTTTTAAATTCCTTATTTGGCCTTTTAACAAAATATTTAAAAAAATAAAAAAACAGAAATACATTTTTATTATGAATAATTTATTACTATGCAATAAGCCTGATAGCAAGAATAAAACAAAACAGATTTTTTTTTGTTTTGAATTCCTTATTTGGCCTTTTAACAAAATATGTTATAAAAAAAATAAAATTTACAAAAACAGAAATACATTTTAAATATTAATAATTTATTACCATGCGATAAGTCAAGATTATTTTTTGTGTATTCTTCCCCCCTGTTATCAGGTGTATCTGATTGTGTTCAATAGGATTTTGAGCAAAGTTCTTACCATTAAATGATGCAAAAGGTGTCAGACGCAAAACATTTCAGAAACCGTATGTATCAAATATGATACGTTTGGCATTACAGGGTTAAATGGTACATTTAAAGTACAAGTTTCTCATACACTAGTTCCCAAATATTGCCATCCAAAAATAGACTAATGCATTAATATCAGAACCCATGTTGGTTTCTATGAGAAGAAGTTAATGTCATAAATATTAGAGTCAGGATTAAGATCATCTGCACAACAAGAGGATTGGCTTGACCTCACACAGTTTGAGCAGTTTATTGTGATTTTGAATTGAATTGAATTGAATTTAAAGCCTTTATTGTCATTGTACACATACATACAGTGGGGGAAATAAGTATTTTACCCCTTGCTGATTTTGCAGGTTTGCCCACTTACAAAGAATGCTTATTTTTCCTTATCAGATGGTTATCAATTTTTATAAATTCATATGATGTGATTTTCTGGAATTTTCTTTGGGATTCTGTCTTTCACTGTTAGAATGTACATATGGTTAAAGTTATAGATCGTTGCATTCTTTGTAAGTGGGCAAACCTGAAAAATCAGCAAGGGGTCAAATACTTATTTCCCCCACTGTACATATACAATACATTAGAGCAAGTCTGAATGTAGGTTGAGTATGGTGAGGGCTTTGTGGAAGAAAGCTGTTATAACTCCTGATCCTTAGGTCTCTTCTCTATCCTGGGCAGGTGACTAATGAGCCTCCTAAAGGCCTGCGAGCCAACATGCGGCGAGCATTCACAGAGATCTCCAGCACTTTCTTTGAGGATCACACTCTGGGAAGCCAGTGGAGGAAAATGGTCTTTGGACTCTGCTTTTTTCATGCAATCATCCAGGTAGAACTCAGTCTCTGTCAGGTCTTTACACTTTGAAAAGTGTTTGCGTTGCTGTCCGTTATACCTATGTGCATCATGTGTTTTTGTTTATTAGGAAAGAAAGAAGTTTGGTCCCCTGGGCTGGAACATCCGATATGCGTTCAGCGACAGTGACAGAGAATGTGCTCTTCTCAACTTAAACCTGTACTGTAAACATGGCACCATTCCTTGGGATGCTTTGATCTATATCACTGGTGGGTGTGAATCAATTGATTAGAGTTGGAGAAAGGCCCTGGTTGTTTGTCTTCTCCTCCTGATTAATACCTTCCACTTTATTATCTTTTTAACATTCAGTTTGTTTTCATTTTTGTTTTCCTCTTTGCTGTTAGGCTTACATTTTATATTCAGACTAAAATGGATAGATAATGTCAGTTTTTTGAAGATGGAACATTTCACGTATTATTATATTTTTATTATACAGTTATAAGAGTTTTTATTTTTTTGTATCATTCTTATGATCCTTGGAGCACTTCCAGGGGTCCTGAGGTCATTTTTACCCCTGATCTAGTTAAAATCTCTTTGTAGTTATATGCTGCCTTCTGTCTCATAGGGGCTCACCACATCACACAATTGTTATCACACAATTATGTTGTAAGTTTTTCTTTTAAACTCTGAAACTGTCCATTTTGGTTAAAAGGTGGGAATGTGGGCTCAAACCGAGCGTGAAATGGCCTCTTTTAACATTGACTCTTTCAACTCTTTAATCAGAAAGTAGATATTTTCTTGTAGGTCATCAAGACAGTCGACAAAATGCAACCTGATGACACCAAGCTGTGAAGAAAGCAAAAGAAGCCACTGCATGCCAACTCCGTATTAACGCTCTAAGAGACAAGCCTGCATTAGTAATAGTAAATGTCTCTAAAAATAAAAATAAAAATCTGCTAATGTTGTTTATTTTATAGCCAATTTATAAAACTAACAGTAATTTTCGATCTCTGCCTCAGACCATTAATCATGCTTGTCCTTAGAGGAATTTTGAAGTACTTGAATGTGTCTTTCCTGGTGTGGACTCTGTGGGGGTCTGCAGCAGAAATGGTCATTAGAACGACCACCTGCTCCATCTTTAGCACCTCAGTGCTGGAGCACATGATGAAATCTCTGTTCTCCACAGGTGAAATCACGTATGGAGGCCGAGTGACGGATGCCTGGGACCAACGCTGCCTCCGGACAATACTCAGAAGGTTTTTTTCACCTGAAATCCTGCAGCCAGGCTACACCTTCTGTTCCTCAGGTACTGTTTTATTTTTGTTCTTGTTCCTTTTCCTTGCACTATATTTACAAAGAATGGAGAAAATAACAAGCAAACTTTACAGGAAAATGCGATTCAGTGCAGCAAGTGTGTGTGTTTGCAAAAGGTTCTTTATTTTCTGTTGTGGCCATTTAAGTTAACTTTTTGTCATTCACATGTTCTGTTTAATTTTAAATAGTTGAAATGTTTCATTTGCACAGAACCATTTTGAATTTAATTTTTAGGATTTATTTGGTAATTTGCCAAGCTCCTCCCATTCATTTGGAAGAGTTAAAACAGCCAGGGGTTGTGGTTTGGGGAAAAAATGTCAGGTTTGAGGACGGGAGGTTTGCCACAAAGATTTTTTGACCACGGTTACACGCTATACTTTTGTTTTACCTTTTGGATCACCTTTGTTACTTTTGGTTTGCAGCAAAGTTATAATGGAATTGTGTTTGTTATTTCCTTATAATTTTACAAAGAAATAAAGCCAAGTGCGTCAAAATCAAAACCCACCTGTTGCCACCGAAAAATTAAAAGGCTGTGACATTTTCTTTGAATTAACAGTTTCCCTCTTCATTTGTAAGGTGTTTACTATGCCCCAGAAATAGATGAGCTGGAGCAATATAGGAGCTACATTGAAGGGCTTCCAACCATCGATGATCCTGAGGTGTTTGGGATGCATGAGAATGCCAACCTAGCTTTCCAAGTGAGCATCAATCCTGAAACAGCACTTTCTTACTGACAATCTATAAGAACCGCTAAATCCCTCTACTGATTTTTTTCTGTCATGCAGTGTTGGTTATCCTGTTGATGTTCCTGTTCATTATTGCATAAATTAAATGGATGAGAAGACTTTTTCCCCCTTTTTTATGCTGTGGGGAACTTGTATAATATTTCTCTCTTGTGTCACTTATGAGAACAAAAGACTTAAAGTCATGCATGCATGCATATACCTCCACAGCGTCAAGAAACCATGACCCTGATCAGCACCATGCTGGACGTTAATCCGTGCACTGCGGCACGGCACGGAGCGAAGATTAATGATGATATGGTCTGCGAACTAGCTGAGTCTATTCTGGCGAAGCTCCCTGGTGCGCACACCCACCGACACATTCTCAACTAGTATTTTTATGATCACAAACTCAGTACCAACACTATGCCTTTTTTTCCTTTTTTTTCAACCTTTTTACCTCTTTATTTTACATTAAAATGACATACATGTATGTAAATTATGTGCGCTTTTTATGTTTAGTTTTACCTGTACAGCACTTTGGCAACTTAGGTTATTTTAAATGTGCTCTATAAATAAAATTTGACTTGACTATTCATACCCATCTGTATCAGACTGACTATGTCTCTGTCTTTGTTTTGGTTTGTCTGTGAACAGAGAGCTTGGACATGGAGGCAGCTGTGAACAAACTGTTTGTTCCTGACAAAAATGGCCGCCTGAACTCCCTCACAACTGTCCTGGGCCAGGAGGCTGATCGATTCAAAAACCTACTGAAACTTTTAAGGGTGACACGTCAAACATGAACACTTTTATTTGACTGTTTTATGTCTGTTTCGCAAGTTGCGTCACAATGTATTTTCTATAAATTCAACAAAACCATCAACATTTTCAACAACACCTTCTCATCATGAAGTTTTCTGCTTATTTTTTTTCCTACCAGATATCTCTCACCACCCTGCTGAAGGCAATCGCGGGTGTTGTTGTGATGACAGAGGAAATGGACCAAATCTATACCAGCTTTTTGAACAACCAAGTTCCCACTCACTGGGCCAACTCTGCCTACCCTTCCCTCAAACCTTTGGCTTCCTGGGTCAGAGACCTGGTCCTCAGAGTCTCCTTCATCCAGGTTTGGAAAAGAATTGTCATGTCGATGGGTTCTTGAAGGGAAGACTCAGGTGCGGAGATGACGGAAGACAAGGTTTATTGTAACGAAAAACCCTCTTGAAGAGTGAATGTCCAGACAAAGTACAAATCAAGGCTGTGGAAAACTGTGAGCAACGGCAAAGTAACAAAAAAAAGAATAACAAGACTGAGGCAAAACTATGACTGTGACGAAGTAACACAATAAAGATTGAAAAGACTGTGGCAAAAAGCAAACTTGGCGTGACGTGGGGTTGACGAAAGACGGACGACGAAAGGACGAAACGGACGAGAACGCACTCGCACAAGACAAGGGGAAACGAGGACTATTTAAACACATGAGGGAGGGGAACCCCAGGTGTAATAGGTAATCAAGACATGACAACACACCAGACATTCCCCCAGACGTGACAAGAATACAGATATCTGGACACAAGCAACTTTAGTTTTTAAGTTCCCGTAAATGATGGACTCTTAAACGCTTTCAGTGTTTTTGTCTCAGTATTTCTCCATGACTGGAGAATATGGATGTAGAATAAAAGAGAGCAGTGGAAGTGCTTTTTTATTTAATTTGATTTGATTTTAATTAGACTTATAAAGATGAAGAGGAAGCAGTTGAATTAATTACAGATTATTTTAAAATATGGGAATTTATGCAGTATTCTGCACTTCTGGTTTAAGATTACTTGACTTTGACACCAATTTGAATTTTCGGTTCGTGTTTTTGTCCACATTTGCATACGAATATTTGTTTGTATCTGATTTGCGTTTTATCTCATTAAGCTGAAAACAATAATAACACGTGCCCACATTTATCCCTAAGGCCCAGAGCATTTCTCCAAAGTCTTCTCCTTCCCCTCTGTCTTCCTCTACTCCCTCTTTCCGCGTTTGGTTCATTTCCTTTGACTTAAGCTGGTCTTCCGTAAGACTGGTCTGAACATGTGTATTACTCTGTGAAGAGTCACATGACATATATTATATTCATATTGTTTTGAGTAGCTGCTGAGTAGGATGAATGTTTGATTCCTTGGAGGAGATAATCCAATCCAAGTTTACTCAGTGAGACATCTTTAGGTCATATGTTAAATGAGAGACCTCATACTTAGACAACACAGTGAAAGAACCGAATTAACCATGTCATCAAATGTTCCTCTTCTTTCTTTTTGTCGTCTCATGCAAGGCTTGGATCACACGAGGCCAGCCCAAATCTTTTTGGGTCTCAGGATTCTTTTTCCCTCAAGGCTTTCTCACTGGTAAATCAGGCCATTCATCTCTTCCTTTGTTTGATGAACTATAAGGAACGTTTATATATGCTATAATAGGTTTTAGAATTTCTGGCAGCACAAATACAAAATTATAAAAGTATTATTCATTTAGTTGGACAGTTTGTGATTTCTTAATGTTCCTGTGTTATTGTGAATTTAAAGCTCCTTCATATCCATAAGTAAGGCAACACGCCTATTTTTATTTCAACTACACTGTTAATCTAACATCCAGCTTGTTAAAGGTTTAGTAAAATGTGTGTTTGACCTGGAGGCTGGTCAGTAAAAATGGCTACAAGTGACAATACAGTAGATGTCATCATAAGATACACACTACATGTATGACAAAGTAGAAAATAACTGGTTTTATGAATCAGCATTGTATGTATGTGTGTAGTAATTCCTCGAGTCATAGTTTTCATTTGTTGTCCAAACTGATTCCACATACTAAGTGACATTGTTGAACTTGGTGATATTTTCCTCCAAAACACGGGCTTTCATTTTCCAGGCAGCAGCATTAATCTACATTGGTGATAATCCATGTTGAGCCATTTAATCCTGTCTGCGTGACATTCATCCAATATCCACATCCTGTCATTTTCCCTTTTATCCATTGTTTTTTTT